CTGAGTTTGTTTTGTGTAAGAATCTGTTTCCTGTCCTAAACCTGGACACATGAAATCACACAGATCTCCACCATCCTCAGGGGGCGGGGCTGACCTCACATTCAGGAAGTATTTGTTCATATTCCGGTTATAGGTGAATAAATAAAATGAGCAGCAGATGAGAAGTGACTCTGTCTCATCTTGAGGAGTGGACAGAGGAGAAGAGAGGAAACAGGAAGAAGTGGAGTCATTAGAATCTAAATGGTTCGTCCTCTGGAGAGCAGGACCTTTCACATTTGTGTTGTTTTGATCCTTGGACCTCCTCCTCATCACACTCATCTGAGCTGATTCCCTCTCCCCGAGCCATTTTGCATTAGTATATTTATGTGGACATATACAGTATAATGCTTTTTCTGATTTGAATCATGCCAGTCATGTGTTTGAAGGTCACACCTTGGAGCTTTATTTGTTTTTTTGTTATTGTTATTTTCATGATAGATATTATGACCTGAGACCTGATAGGCTGAGGCGATTTGTAGGTGTGATGTATCCTTCAGGTGAACAGGCGACTAATATGAATATCTTATTTTATATTGTTCAAGTTTAAGAGTATCTTGTCTTCTTTCAGCTTGTTGTTTTTCCTCCATGAATAAATACTGAATGGTGACATTAAGGAGAGAGTGTGTGTTGATATTCTGACCGCTCCTAACAGCCTCCATGGATGTTGATGATCAGGGTGGTTTCATTGTGTAGACCCAGTGGTGAACACATATTTGATGATGTTCCCCTGAAGCTGTAGCTGATGATTATGAAGTGGGACAGTGAAAATAATTCATCTTTTTTAAATCAAAGTCTGAGGAGTAAAACATTTAACTCATGACATGATTTAACTATTTCTTTTTAATCGAAATATAATCAAAATCTCAACATGGTCAAGTGTGATATCCTAATCACAGGATCTGTAGTTACTTTGATGAAGGTAAAATGTGCCACATTGTTGTGCATCGTCACACCATCATCATTTGTAAATATTTTTCAGTGAAAATGAAAAACCAACCATTCCAACTCCAATCACAATATTTTCCATAATAATCACAATATGATTTTTTTGCATATCGTGCAGCTCTAATTGCTTATGAATATTTCTGTGTGGATGAATTAAGATACAAGTGGAGTGATTCAATACCAGCTACAACCTGTAGGATATAGTCACTAAACTGTACAGGTGTGTAGCTGAGGTGTGTTCCGACCCATGAGCACTGAGCCGTGATGGGTAAGGTGTTGGGTGTTGCAGTTGTTGTGATGTCATCACTACTTGGTCTCTGGTGTTTCTGTATCTTCATGTTCTCAGTGCTGATGGAGTGAAGCAGCATTAAGATGATTCTGTCTCTTTGTTTAGTCTGTTCTAACTCTGGTTCATGTGTTTATCTTAACAGAAAAACCATCCTCCATCTTTGTCTTTAATTATTCAGACACCTCTCACTCTGTTTCCTCTCTGTCCTCCATCACTGTCTATGTTCTTTCTTTCTTTCTTTCTTTCTTTCTTTCTTTCTTCCTTTCTTTCTTTCTTTCTTTCTCTGATCTGCTGCTCTTCCTGTTTCATCTCTTCACGCCGTCGTCTCATATTGGGGTCACACGCGTCGGATTGGTCGTTTCCATAGCAACAGCACCGTTAATGGGCTCCGTTAAGGCTCGTTAAATCTCTCCGTTTGATTCGTTTTCCTCTCGGGAGCTGCACATTTTCTTACCCAGCATGCTTTGCAGCAACTGAAGCAGCAGTGGTGGTGTGTGTGTGTGTGTGTATGTGTGTATCAGATGACAGAGGAGGCAGAAAGAGCCATCACTTGATGTAAATTTGTCACCATGACAATGGAGGGGGGGGTGGGCCTGTCACCATGGTAACGCAGAACATCAATATATCTCGAGGTCTTTGATGGGAAACACCAACATTAGAGACACACACACACACACACACACACACACCAGCTGAGGTCTGCAGTCTCAGGGGACCTACACATTGGGACATCTATACTTGTGAGGACCCTCACTGATCTGGTCTAATCTAAACCTCAGTCCAAACCTGAACCTTAAACCTTGCGTCTCACACCCAGCAGCTGATGTGTTTCCCTCTCGAGTTCCGCCACCATGGCTGCAGCGTCAGAGCTGAACACGTTCCCTCTGTTTGTGTTGATCTGAGTGAAGGTCGTCTGTGTGAGTCTGGAAGTTACTGAGTGTTTAAACACTCATTAACGCTGACTCACACTTTGTGAACGCAGCCTCAGTCCGACCTCCACGCTGCTGCAGCAGGACTCACTGTCAGATCCTGGTCTCAGTCATCAGAGTCCCATGACACTGTGAAGGTGTGACGAGGCGGGGACCAAACCTGCAGCTCATTATCAGCCCCGTGATTAGTCCTTTGTCGGTTTGACACAGATTTCATCTAACATCTGGACCACATCATCATGTCATTAAACATGTAACATGTAACATTTCATCAGTGTTTATACAAGTCAGCTGTCTCCACAGCAACAGAGGTCTCAGGTCTGTGTGTCCAAACAGACTGTAATAGGTCTGATCACATGGTTCTTCATCATCATCATCATCATCATCTCTTGGAGTGGTGGATCTTGCTGCTGCCAGTCGTACTGTTTCCTGTCTGTGTTCAGGTCTGTCGAGGTTCAGCAGATTCTGGATCAGGTCTAATAATCATCAGGTCCCTTCTAAGATTGATTCTTTATTTTTTTTTATCTCATTCAGGACTGCTCCACCTTGATGTGTGTGCGTGTGTGCGTGTGTGTGTGTGTGTATGTGTGTGTGTGTGTGTGTGTGCTTGTGTGTGTGTTCATCACATCACAGCATTGATTATGACCAGGTCAGATCAGGTTTGAGGCTGAATTGATTGTTTCGTCTGTTTCATAACGAGACTTTGATTTTCTCCGAAATGATGATGATAGTGTGTCTGTGTGTGTGTGCGTGCGTGCGTGCGTGCGTGCCTGTGTGTGTGTGCGTGTGACTCTGTGGTTTCGGGCGGTGCAGCTTCACAGGGATACTGAGATCAACAGGCTGCACCAGGGTCTAGATTTCGTGGTGCATTTACACTAATTGTAAGAAAATCTATTTGTTTTACCTTCAGCTCTGCTGCACAGATTCAGCCGTTCTGTTTTTGTCTGAACCGAACATTAACCCATTAAAGTTAGTGATTCAAATTAAAGCCAAGTTAAGTCCCGCCCACCAACATACAATCAAAACACAGGATTGGACGCTGCTGTTATTCCCAGGTTCATTGACAGTAAAGAACAGCTGATATTTTCAGTTATGATCAGAAACTTAACACAACATGTTTCTTATTTATGAGTCAAATTATTTTCATGACCTGCAACCTGAGAACACGTCCAATAAAATCCACATCAGACCACATTCTGGATCCTGTTCCTCTTCTCAGACCTGCAGCCTCCTCCTCCTCCTCCTACCCACAATCCCCTGGGGGTCAGCTCCTCATAATGAATGCAGCAGTGACATTTGCTGCACTGACTCCAGATCTGCAGAGCTGAATTGAGCTCTGACGACAGGGACAAGAGAACCAGTCTCACAGCAGGGTCAAACAAAAACAAAAAAAAACAAACAAAAGCACACACATATACACACACACACACATACACACACACACATGCATGGCAGAGTGTGTTTCACATGTTGGTCTCTGACTGTCTGTCTGTACTGTGAAGGTCACAGTCTGATTCAGTCACGAGCAGAATTAAAGAGCAGACTGAGCATGTGCAGCTCTGACCCCAAACTGATGACCTCACTGAGTTTCATTTATGTATTTAACAGAGACAGACGACAGTGTTCAAACTGTTGGAGAAGGACACACACTGAACTAAAAAGAAATGTTGATGTATGTGATTAAGATGTGCAGCCATCCGTCTGCAAACTGCTACTGAAAGAAACTGTGATGACCTCACCACCATCTCCTCTGAACCTTTGACTGGTCATGAAAACATTCATCAGACAGCAACTGAAACATGTCATGATATTGTTTGTGTTTCCTGATCATGTTGACAGGAACAGCTACAGCGGCACAGTTGTATCAAGTGTTAATTAAAACAAGTAACAAGCAGAAGAATTCAATATACAGAGTGAAAACAGTTTAACCTCTTCAGTTTGTTGTTCTACCGGCTTCTCCTCCATCACAAAGCTTCTGCACAGGCCAGAGGGACATTTACAACCAGAGTGGAAAAGCTGATGTTCTCTCAGACAGATCCAGGATCAGATGCTGGAGACTGGAAACAGCCGGAGGTCAAACTTAGATAACGTGTTATCTAACAGACTGTCACTGAACGCCCCGTCGCTCCAGAGCGAGAGAGGGACATGCAGCCAAACTGAACCTGATCTGACAGATGACGAGACCCCCTGTGTGTGAGCCATCTGCTGCCCAGGAGGAAGAGGAAGAGGAGGAGCAGGAGGAGGAGGAGGAGCAGGAGGAGGAGCGAGGGCAGTGAACGCACCAAACCAGACAGAAAGAATAGACAAATATGAAAATGTTAGATAAGTCAGAAATATCCTGAGTGAATAACAGTCTCTGTGCAGGGCGGTGGATTGTGTCTTAATATGACATCATAGCGCCCCTCCTCACCCTCTCCGCAGCGTGGTCAGTATTTCTCTGCTGAGATGTCCCGTGGCTCCAGGTTCAGTCTGTGGAGACTGGAACAAACACAAAGTCATGTAGAAACCAAGACTCAAAACAATGTCATTGACATTAAAACCAACATTAAAAGGTATTTTCAGGTAATTAAAAACAGCAGCTCACACGTTCTCCAGTTCCCTGATAATTAGCACCAAACTGTGTCGGCAGTTTACAGCTAAATGTCTGCGTTTGCTCAGGAAATTATGAGGAAAGTCTCCAGGACATGAGCTGGAGTGTTTACACTGAAGAACAGGACTCATCTTCAGACACTGAAGGTTTTCACTGTCCCCCCCCCCCCCCCCGTGTGTTCCTGCAGGGGGCGCTGCAGAGTGTGAAGATGGCCAACGCCGTGGCTTCTTACGACCAGCTGGCCCACCAGGTGGAGGCACTCCGTAAGGAGAACTCCCACCTGAGGAGGGAGCTGGAGGACAACTCCAACCACCTGTCCAAACTGGAGACAGAGACCTCCGGCATGAAGGTGAGTGTGGACACCGCAGCACCAGCAGCACAGGGTCAGTGGTTTTAATGGTTTTAATGGTTTACACCAGGTTTATCTTTCACTCCTGCTGAGTATTTGCAACCAACCAGTATTGCAACCAACTGAATACCCCTCCCCTCCCCCCTCTCTTCTCCCTCCCTTCATTGTAGCAGAACCTACGTGCCCTTCAGGTAACATGACAACATGAAAGCCCCTCTCTAGAGCCAGTGTTTGGTTTGTCCACTCTGGGCTACCATAGAAACATGGCAGCTGATTTAGAAAATGACATAAGGTCACTGTAAAATCTTTGTCAAGAATAAGATCCTCACATAAAAAAAAGAAAATTTACTGTTTAGTCACATTCCCAGTAAAAATGTAAAAAAGTGAAACCCGATGAGTGATTTAAAACAGAGGAGGTTTGTTGACGTGAAAGAAGGTGAAAATGGACAAATGCACGGAAATATGTGAATATAAATACCCTTTCACTTATATTATTCTCCTACTCAGCTGTTTAAAATGGGTTTAACAGTTCAAAATGTCATTATCACTGATGTGGAAATGCAGCATCACTGACTTGTGATCTGGAATCTCAAAACTAGAATTTAGATGGCATAAAAAAATTAAACAGTGAGTTTACAGGTAAAATGTTTCTAAAATAAAGTGGGATATTTTACACTTTGTGTTATCTTCAAAACTGATCCATTTGGGGGCGTCGTGTGGCGTAGTGGTCTAAGCATCCGCCCCATGTGTAGAGGCTACAGTCCTCGCTGCAGTTGGCCCCGGTTCGAGTCCCGCATCGGGCGGCCTTTGCTGCATGTCATTCCCCCTCTCTCTGCCTCTCTCTCTACTGTACTATCGAATAAAGGCATAAAAAAGCCCAAAAAATATACTTAAAACAAAAGAACTCATCCATTTTATAAAATATCAAAGTCTTAATGTAAGTAATTGTAGCAAAATAATCAATAAATAAAGAGACAGAGAGAAATGTAAAATCAGGCTAAGACCCAGAGCCTGCTGAACATAAATCCTATCAGCCGTACACACATAAACATACATGTGACTACACACTGACACACACTCACGTGTCCAGATGCTGAGAGCAGCTGGATTATCAGACTGAGCTCAGCTGGTTTCATCAGAATCAGGACGTCGGACTCTGACACACAAACACAGCGGTTCACACTGACGCGATTCACCTGCATTCACATGCGGCAGGTGAGTCTACAGGAGGTCGGTGGTACAGGATCAGACAGGACTTGACAGGACCTGAGTAACAGAGGGTCCAGTTTTTAGTCTTCATCCAGCTGCAGGAGGATGAGGATCGACTGGATGTGAGGGAACATTTCTCTCTGGATTTTGTCTGTGGTGAAGTTTCATTGATTTGACTTGATCATTGGATTTATTGGATCATTATCTCAGAGTGATGCAAGGATATTTTTCTCTGTGCCGTAACATCTTAAATGTCAGACCACACATCAGTCTGTTCTGTGTGATACTGGATCTGGATCAATGTGAGTCTAAAAGATGATGACTTCATGTTATTTATATTTAAATAAGGTCAGTGGGAAAGAACAAAAGTGGAGATTTTGATACTTTGGTGAATTAATATCCAGGTTATTGATAATTTGGTACGTTAGTATCATCATGTGTTTTCAAGTTGAGCTTGTGTTAATGTCTAATCACGTCATTCAGCTCACATTTCTGAAAGCTACAAAATAATTAGTAAACTAACAATAAAAGTAAATAATTGATTATTGAGTTACAACTGACGAGCCTGATTTGTGTAGGTGTGTGTAGGTCTGTGTTTACAGGTGTGTGGGTGTGTGTAGAGGTGTGTCTAGGTGTGTGTAGAGGTGTGTGTAGGTGTGTAGTTATGTTGTAGCCTGATTGAATGTAATTTAATCAGAGTAAACACGGTGCTTTTTGACTGAGGGATTTAATGAAGGAGAAACTTTTCATTGAATAAAAATCAGCTGTTGACAGAAACTGAAACAATCAGTTACATCAATTCACAGATTAACATTATACGTCCTGTTCACCTGTCCCTGCTTCAGCCACATTAAACATTATAGAGCTGAGACTGTTGATAAAATCACTTAACCACCAGTGGACTGACACTGCACCAAGTATCTGACACTTTCCACCAAAATATCAAGAACTTGTTTTGCACTGCTTCATCTGAATCAGCCCCCCCACCTGTTTGCCCCTCCCTCCCCCACCTGTGCACAGGGGCTAAAATTAGTAGACAGATGGTTGAAATTAATTTCAAGGTCAGTGCTGCGGCACTGGTTGTTTGTCTGCTACAGTCGAATATTTCTTAACTCATTTCTGAACAACATGGCTGAAAGTGAGGTGAAGGAGCTGTATCATGTTATAACTCTGTTGTTCCTCCTCTGATGCAGGAGGTGTTGAAGCAGCTGCAAAGTAAACTGGAGCAGGAGGCGGGAACACTGGCCTCATCGGGGAGGAGCGACGTGCTGCACCAGCTCAAAGGTCTGACTCTGGTTCTCAGTTTGTCTCAGATGAGACGGTGGATATTAGATTAAGCTGATTCCCCTGAATTGTTGTAATGCTCCTCTAAATTTAGACAGAGATATTACATGAGGTCTGACTGTGCTGTGTTTGCTGTGTTGCTGATGAGCTTCCTCTGGGACCAATCATCACTTACACAGAAATGAATCGACTCAATCACTAACCTGCTCTGGCTCATTAAGACCAAATCCAGTTAAACAAGCAGTTAATGTTAATTTGTTTGTCTGGACTGGAATTCAATTAACACCAATAGAGACTAACAGCACACACACACACACACACACACACACACATAGAACTGAGTGAACAACAGTGACCACAAGTTAGCTATTTCAATACTACAAAATGCATTTCCTGTGGAAAATGAATGCTGAGAGCTTAATGAGTCTGCTGAAGCAGTGCTGAAGTAGCTGAACCAATTGCTGAAGCAATGATAAATTAGCTGAAACAATAGCTGAAGATTAAAAGAATAACTTGTAAGCTGGAGGTTGAATGGTATTAAATGGTTGAAAAAGGCCTGAACTGTTGAAGCAAAGTGTAAAAAACAGTACAAAATTGTACAAAACATTAAAATGTGTAATTTGTGGCCTAAAATGGCTGAAAAATACCGAATGAAGAAATGTACAAGTACAACTTTAAAGCTGAAATCTGAAGGAGATTTCTGAAGCAATGCTAAAATGTTGAAAAAAGCACCTCATATTAACTGAAGTACAGTGCTTTGAAAAGTTTCTGTAGATGCCAAAATGTTACACTGGAGGAGCCGTGAGCTGAAGTCTATTAGCTGCAAAAGCTGAGAACTGGGACATGTTATTGGTCTGTCTGTCTGTCTGTCTGTCTGTCTGTCTGTCTGTCTGTCTGTCTGTCTGTCTGCGAGAGAGGGAGAGAGAGAGAGAAAGTCTGGATGTGTTCATTAACCTCACAGAGATCAATCAGGCTGTTAACAAGCAATATCCATCAGCTGTGTGCAGCAGGAAGACACAGAGCTCATACAAATCTATGGGAGAAATGGGTCAGCAAACCTGTCAAACTCCTGCCATTCAATAGAAAACGATCCATAATATCAGTAAAATTTTCACACCGTCCACGCCACAAGAGTCTCCTGAACAGGTCTGTATGAATTTAGTGTTTGTAGAGTCAAAAATGTGGAAACAGGAGCGAGTTAAAAAAAACTTTTTTCCGTTTGTTTCTGAAAATCCACATCTGAATTTGTATTGTATTATTACTGTATACTCTCATCACTCAGGGGCTCACAGTTCAAATCCTGTAAGTCTCTCTGCTTTGGTAGACACATTGTCTCAAAGAACACAAATTTTTCTACGTCCTGGAAAAATACGATAAGTGTGTGGCCGTGTTAAACATTGTTAAAGATTGATTTTTTTAGACCAGTTTAACCTTCTCACACTCTATCAGTGATGTCATCCATTCTAGCCTCTGAACATTCTGTGCAATACACACCCATTATAAATTCAAACATCATCAGAAAAAATCCTAAAACTTAAACTGTGATAAATCAATAACTGTAGAAGATATCAAAAAGTTGAAAGCAAGTTTAATATCTCAAAGTCTTGTGAACATTTTAAAGTTTAAATGAAATCTCCAGCTGAGAGTATGCTGAAGTTGAATACATCTGATAATCTCCAGAAGAAGCTGAATGTTTTGATAGTTGAACGGTGTTTGTAGCACAAAGTATGTAGGACTAGTTAGAGACTGAAAAACATACAGAAGGAGAAAAATAAAAGATAAAGATTTGAAGAACAATAGTGTTCTTCAATAATAGTGTGAATGCTGACTCATTCATAACAATAGTGTGAATGCTGAGTCAGCATTCACACTATTGTTGTGAGTATGTGAATTGTGAGTATGAGTAGTAAGGTTAGAATAAGGCTGTAAATGTGAACTGTGCTGGATCCAGCTCAGTCCAGGAGATTGTTTAGATCAACTCTTAATTGATTAACAGTCAACAGAAAATTCAAATAAATTATTAATTGTCTTAGTATTTTTTTAGTTTCTCTAATATCAGAATTAGTCTTTTTTCTGTGTTTATGTCAGTAAACTGAATCTCTGAGTTCTCAGCTGCTGGTTCACAAAAAAGACAAAATACACACCTCTCTTGCTCCTCTGTAGGAGGGGGGTGGGCGTTTTACATGTGTGTCCAGGGGCCTGTTGTCCCACAGTCAGTGTGTAGGTGATGCTGTGGTTCAAACAGCAGCTGTTCATTTATTTTATTTATTATCAGAACGTTTAAACTTCTTTTATTACACTGAATAATAATGTCAACACCTTTTTACTTATTTTCCAAATGTGCCCCCTTCTTTAAAACTGTGTCTCAGTCAGACCCCCCCATTCAGAAGTTCCAAAACCCCACCCCAGCTGATGTTAGTGTGAGTGTAAACTGAGTAGATTTCAGATTGACAGATGATTACTCATCTTCCTGCTCCTCCTCCCTCAGAGCTCCACATGGACCTCACCAACTACTATGAGCTCAAACACCAGCCTCACAACCTGAGGCTGCTGACGGACAACCTGGGAGGGGCAGGGCTAACAGGTGTCGGCGGGGCGGGGCCGGGTGGGGTCGGAGGGGCGGAGATCGACGACCGTCTGGCTCTGCCCCCGTCCTCCTGCTCCTCCTCGTCCTCAGCGGTGAGCAGGGCCAGGAGTCCACTGAGAGCCTCATCCCGTCAGAGTGCAGCATCTGGGGGGGAGGCCGCCGCCATCATGCTGCCGCATCACTTCCTGGACGGAGCCCCGCCCAAAACAGCTGTGATTAGTGGAGCAGATGGACGACTGAGCGACCACCACCTGGAGAAGCTGTACAAGGAGAGGTGAGCTCAACGTCTCTCAACTGATCAGACTGTGACACTGATGTTCATGATCTCCAGAGGATAAGTCCTGGTGTCTGACCCTAACAGTCATATCTGTGTGTGTGTGTGTGTGTGTGTGTGTGTGTGTGTGTGTGTGTGTGTGTGTAGGAACCTCCTGCTGGGGGAGATCGACCAGGAGGAGAGGGAGCGCTGCTGGTACTTCAGTCAGCTGGAGGAGCTGTCACAGAGACTGGCTCAGCTGCCTCGAATCGACACGGTGAGGACGCTGGATGTTTCATCAGCTCATTCAAACAACAGTTTATGATCCTGACAGGTTTAGTTCAACAGGATCATCTTCACTAATGAACACCACTTTATAATGTTTGAAGCTTACATACAACTAGTAGAAGTAAAAAGTTAATGTTTATGCAGGACCAGTGATGTCACAGTAAAAGTAATAAAGCATTTCTGTAATTTCATATTTTAATAGGCATTAAAAACAGGAATTGTGAAAAGAATTTTTAAATGAACAAACAAACAAACAAATCCATCAATAAAAACTTCAGATTTAAAAATGAATTTACAAAAACAGCATAAAACTCTCATTAAATAAACCATTTATAAATACATTTATTAATTCTTGAATTAATAGTAGAATTTGAAAAGACATTTTAAAAATGGGAATAAATAACTGGATTCCTTTTCAAGAATTTATAAATTAACTATCAATCCATCAAAATAAATGGAGCTGAATTGAGAAGCAAAATGACTGAGAAAACTGGAAAAGGAAAAGCAGCTGGAAAAAGGAAATGGCAATTGAAGAAGGAATCTGGGAATGTATTCCCATTTTTAAAATAAAATGACTTTCCCTTAGTTTTTGAAATTCTTTTATTTAATCATGAATTAATTAATGTATTTATAAATGGTTTATTTAATGATGTTTTTGTAAATCCATTTTTAAATCTTAAGTATTTATTGATGATTTAATCATTCATTTATGAATTATTTTTACAATTCCAATTTAGACACTTGTTAGCAACCAAGACAAGACAAGAAATCAGAACTGGGGTATTTACTGACCGATTTTATGTTGGAGAATAAAGTCTGAAAATGTGAAAGACGAGGACGAGTTAACATGCTAAAATGCTAACTAAGGTCCAGGTGTTAAGACTCATTCCTGCAGAACTCTGTTTAACCTCTGACCTCTGTGTATTCCTGTGGACTCTGACCTCTGTGTGTCTCTGTGGACTCTGACCTCTGTGTGTCCCTGTGGACTCTGACCTCTGTGTGTCTCTGTGGACTCTGACCTCTGTGTGTTCCTGTGGACTCTGACCTCTGTGTGTCCCTGTGGACTCTGACCTCTGTGTGTCTCTGTGGACTCTGACCTCTGTGTGTTTATGTGGACTCTGACCTCTGTGTGTTCCTGTGGACTCTGACCTCTGTGTGTATCTGTGGATTCTGACCTCTGACCTCTGTAGACTTTGGCCTCTGTGTGTCTCTGTGGACTCTGACCTCTGTGTGTTCCTGTGGACTCTGACCTCTGTGTGTTCCTGTGGACTCTGACCTCTGACCTCTGTAGACTTTGACCTCTGTGTGTCTCTGTGGACTCTGACCTCTGACCTCTATAGACTCTGACCTCTGTGTGTTTCTGTGGACTCTGACCTCTGACCTCTGTAGACTTTGACCTCTGTGTGTCTCTGTGGACTCTGACCTCTGTGTCTGTGTGTCCCTGTGGATTCTGACCTCTGTGTCTCTGTAGACTCTGACCTCTGTGTCTGTGTGTTCCTGTGGATTCTGACCTCTGACCTCTGTGTCTCTGTAGACTCTGACCTCTGTGTCTGTGTGTCCCTGTGGATTCTGACCTCTGACCTCTGTGTCTCTGTAGACTCTGAACTCTGACCTCTGTGTGTCTCTGTAGACTCTGACCTTTGTGTCTGTCTGGTCTCAGTTTTCTCTGCAGATGGATCTGATCCGGCAGCAGCTGGAGTTCGAGGCTCAGCGGGTTCGATCGGTGATGAAGGAACGATTCGGCACCAGTGATGAGATGGTTCAGAGGACACAGGTGAGGACGAGGCCGAGGCTTCTGATTGGATGGTCGTTTGCGGTTATGTTATCGGCCACAGGGGATTATTCTGATTTAAGACAGTTTGTTGTGGGATGAGCTGTAGAATCTCTCTCATCATCAGGCTTCCTATCACATGCCTGTGTGTCTCTGTGCATGTTTATATGTTCTGTATATGTGTGTGGGAACATGTGTGTTCATACAGTATGTTTATTTTATTTGGTCCTTTTCCAAAGTATGAGATATAAACATTTTTCTGGTTTCATTTACATTATTTTATTACCTTCTGCTTCTAAAGCTCTTTGTAGCTGCTGATTGCTCAGGTGCTAAAAATAAATTATTATTATTATTATTAATATTATTATTATGAAAACATTATTATAGATACATTTGTTATGTTACATTGTTGATGAGATGTAAAACAGACAGCTGCTGGTGGAGACAAAGCACATCTGGATGTGTCTGAACTGTGTGTGCGTGTGTGTGTGTTGCAGATGCGTGTTGCTCGTCTGGAGCAGCTGGAGAAGGAGCTGCAGGAGTCCCGAGGGAGTCAGGAGAGTCAGCTACAGGTCAGACACACTGTACACGATAACATACACTGTACGCAATAACACACAACAATGTACACAAGCAGCAGATGTATGTATTACACAGATAGAGAAAACACAGTACAGCAGACAGTAGAGCAGACAGCACATCTCAATCAGACTGATTCTAATGATTTTATTAGGTTCATGAATGTTTGACTCTGAACTGAACCAGAACCACTGTTGGTCTCAGTCTGTAGGTTTAGAGCCTGTCTCACTTTTTCAGTGATCTAAAAGGTGGATTCATACCTGTGTGATCACTCAAGATAAATTAAAGCAGCAGTGATATCGACCTCTGAAGCCAAGATCCACTGGAAAAACATGATTACAAATATGACACAAGGTCTTCAGTTAATTTTAAAGAAATCTAAAATTATCATTTATAACATAATCACCATGAACCAGTGAGAACAGCTTCGTAGCTCATTATCTGTGAGTCACCAGATGACTTGAAGCTGCAATGTCATGGTGACCTGCTCGGGTGAGATCAGGTCAGGTGACCTGCTGCTCATCATCCCTGTGTCTTTATCCATCCCCCGTAAACAAGAGAGGAATCATGTAGAGATTTAGAGGTAAGACATCAGCTGGATCAGCTGACAGGCTGCAGGTGTATGTATTTGTACAGATCATGTGATGCAGTTTAAATAAAAGTTTGACAGCAGCTGCACATTTATAAAAAACTTGAACAGATCCATCAAGTTTCTGCTCAGACACTGAAGCACATGAGTCAAAAAGGCTTTGATTCTTTTTAAATTCATGTATAGTTTTCCAGGTTGTGATGAGATGTCTCTTAATTTGTAGAAATAGTTTTGCAGCATATAAGATTCAGGGAAAGTAGAAATAATGTAAATATTTCATGTCAAAATATTCTCTCTCTGATGCACAGAGTTTTTCAACCTGATAGAAACTGAATTAAAACAGATTCTTCCTCTGTCTGATTGAAAATGAAGAAAACTCCTCATGATCAGAAATGAAAGTTGTTTTATTTTCTTTATTGATCATGAACACAGATCAAAGATTTATAAAGAAGTTTGTCAGGCCAATGAAAGACATCCTGTCTCCCTTGAACTAGTAAGGTAACGGAGCATGTTAGCAGGTAACTGGTTATCTGCTTTACTAATGGGTCCTAAGGGTTGTTACTAAGCGACGTTTACGAACCCACCTCCAGACAGGAACTGGATGGACCAATCAGATTGCTCGATGCTGAAGTCCGTCTCACATGTCTCAGCCTGTGTGAGTTCACTGCAGCAGTCGCTCCCAGTCCAACTCCACCTGACACAGCGTCACCGAGCCGCCGTAGGTCCACACCCAGAACCCTGGGTACAGAGGCTCAGTGAAGGTGGAGGTGAAGGTGTGGAGGTGGACCATGGCATCCTGAGAGACACCGTAGAAGGACAGAGATCCGGTGGACCAGTTCAGGTACACCCCAACTCTGTGGGTGAAGGGTTGAGGTGAGGAGGACCTGAACCTCTTGTTGTTGTGACAGGGCGTGTAGCTTCCTTCAGAGCACTCCAGACTCCAGGACCACTTGTTGTGTCCGAGCAGACAGCTCTCCGCATCTCCATCTCTGGAAATGCTATTTGAGGTGACGCCAACATCGGCACCGCCGCTCCACTCCACCTCCCAGTACACTGAGTCTAGCAGCCCCTCCCTGCACAGGACCTGAGGGCAGCGCTCGAACCGGTCCGGGTGGTCCAAGGATCGACAGTCCGACCACATGCGAGTCGCCTTCCTGTTGCAGTCGGTCAGGTGGAGCTCTGAGTTGGCAGTGCTGGGGTCAAAGGTCAAATAACAGGCAACTGAGGGGGAGACACAAAGGAACAAGATCAGTTGATCAACTGTTAGTGGAACATGAATCACAGTGTTGAAGTCACTTCAGATATTTTCTGGTTCCTGCTTTTTCATTTAAAGATTTGTTTTGGGGTTCAAGGCTTCAGGGTGCGCCCCCAGTCCCTGGTCCCCAGTTCCTGGTCCACCTCCTGCTGGAGACCTTTGTTTCATGTCTGTTCATGTTTTGCTCTAATCTCTCTACTGTCAACATTAAAAAACCCATAAATATAATTTAAAACATGAGCTGATCTTGAACTGAATGTCTGCAGGTTTTGAGGTTAATTAGACTGAACAAAAAGTTTTACAAACATTTGTCATATTTTTTGAGATTTTACAGACAAAATTGATTCATCAAGAAATTTATTAGTTTTAATCACTGATGAATAACTAGAATATTATTATGGTTTATAGGGGGTGTTATTTACTGCGTAGGTCTGATCTTTTGAGATCTCTCATGAGCTCATCTTATTTGAGGATGTTAACCACAACACAACCTCCACCTCTGTCAGTTCTCTGACCCATAGGAACATAATGTAACGTAACAAGGATCCAGTTTCTCTGTTTCTCCTTCTGTTTCTGTTCTCCGAGTTCCTGGAACTAACTTTGGACTCTGCTGAGGAGGAGATGCTAAATTCAAATTCAGGCATTTTCAGGGGCTGGTTACAACAACAATAACAAAAACCCCTGCCTGTGTGGAGCAGTGGAAAAATTCTGTATAATATCTACACAGAGCTGGATTAAATTGTTAGCCGATAGCGGAAACAGTTGGATCAAAAATAGTAACGATGTAGTGAAGCTGTGGTGTTGAAATATCGGATTAAAACTCAAACTCTATGCAGACGATACTATAAACTTGATGATAGACTCTCTCAGGAGGATTGAACACTGGAGAAAATCTTAAAATAGAAAACAATAAAAAATAAATAAATAATATATAAAAACAATGTGATCTTACAGTTTTTCACCCACCACACATCTCCATCTGTCTGATCCCTGCAACCAGAAAAATCAAACCGTTAAATTACAACAAGGTTTAATAAGTCTGTCTGCAGCAGAGCAGAGTGACAATATACAGTAGGTCTGAACCCGTCCTCCTGTGGTTTGTCTCACCTCGTGTCATCTTTTTGGTCATCTCCCAGACTAAAGCGACTGATTCTGGAGAGGAGTGACGTCCAGGAAGGTTTATCTTCTTCCTTTTCCCCATTTATCCCCTCGTCTTCCCCTGATCCCACACAGGAATCAGCTGGAGAGAAACTGACTGTGAGATAATGGTATAACATTTTCTTGTGTAGCCACATGTCAAACTGGAGTTGTTTTTTTAGAGTTCAGATGGTTCAAAAGACAAATGTCAATATTTCCATTTCATTTCAACAATATTGGAATTTAGTATTCAAGGCATCAGGAAGAGTTTGATGCTTTTTTCCATTTAATTTTAGTGAGAGGCTGCTGAACCTGTTGTATTATGGTCTGTGCGTGTTTTTCTTGCTAAACCAGACAGAGTATTTGCAATTAGGCCAATAAAACCACATTATTACAGGTAACTGATTTGAACTTTTGACTCAGTGTGTTGCTGATATAAACCTCTGATCCTACCTGTCTGTGATTTGCACATCGTCCCCTCATGTTGTTGTGTCTCAGACAGAATTGTTGTCGTCTCAGATTTCTCCTCAGACACGTTGATGTCCACTTCGCTGTCCTCCGGTTCCTTCATAGAGTTTATTTTCTCAGCATCCACTGTCTCTGAGAATTTTCCCCTGAATCCTTCGTCCATTTGTTCCTCGCTCTTTTCTGATAGTGTCTTTTTGACATCATGACTGTCCTCTACTTTCTCAGAGGTCTTTAAAAGTTTCTGGTCTCTTCTAAACAGACTCCTTAAGGGGTCATCCATTCTTTCAGCTTTCTGGACTTTTATTTTGGCGGAGTCTTCCTTCGCAGCAAGGCCCTTTTTGTCTTTCTCATTTGATAGACTGATTCTAAAGACATTAGAAAGGTCCTCTTTGAGGAGGCTCAGAGGGTTGATGGTCTTCTCTGTTGCCTGGCTGGTTTTAGGGTCTGAGGTCTTCAGGTCTTTGTCCCTGGACGAGCTGATGTTGAAGATGCTGCTCATGTCTTCTTTGAACTGGCTCAGATCTTCCATGAGGAGACTGAGTGTACTGCTGTTGGCTCTGTTCTCCACTTGTGTGGGCGGGCCGTCCTCATGCTCCATCTTTGTGTCTCTGTCCTTAAACACTTTCAACACGTCTTCTTTGAATTGGCTGAAGTCCTCTTTGAGGAGAGTGAGCGGGCTGATCATCCTTCTCTCCCTCTGATGTGTCTGAAGAAGATCTGTCACCTTCACATCTTCATCTTTATGATCCTCTCGATCAAAGTCGTCCTCGTGGACTCGTGACTCAGACTCTGTCTGGACTCTGTCCTGTGAAGGTTCCTCTGTGAGACTCATTCTCAGCTTCTGTTCTCACTTCAGAACAGAGATTTTAACTTCATGTTGACTCTGATCCCTCACACACAGTCAGTCACTGTTTTTAATTTAACACTGGAGTCTTCAGAGAGAATCTGTGTAGTCAACAAATGAAATAATGTTGTGTAGCACTGATCTACTGATCACAATCATAAAAAAGGACTGAGAAACATTTCCCGAGTCTCTTGTCTGAGACGTCTGAATTAATTTAACCATTAATTATTTGTAAATGGAGTTTGGTCCAGATGTTCTGCAGCTGTCTTCCAGTAGATCAGTGGTCAAACAGTGATTAGAGAGATAAAGAGACTAAGTGTCTGCAGGAGGAGGATTTTATGAAACCTGACAACACAAATTTGTTCTTATTTATGTCTAGTAACTGATCCATAAAGCATTAGTTAATGATTTGTTAACTATTTATAATTACAGCTTATAAATCTTTTATAGATGATGCCTTAACAGAAAATGTGACCTCACAAAACACATTTTTGGCCATAACTGAAGAATTCATATATTAATTATGATAAAATACACTTAATACCATTTATTTAATTCCTTCAAAGTCTTCACTACATGTGTTATGAGTCTGGACTGACCAGGATGTGAACTGGTTCAGGTCTAATACTTGAGTATGAAGGTCAGTTTTATTAATATAGCACTAAATCACAACAGAAGTCAGTATATGAGGCTGTTTGAGAATGTTTGTCTGTGAACCTCTATGTTCATGTTCAGACTTGTTTAAAGTGAATCCTGTTTCAGTTTATTCTGTTTGTAGCCATTCACACACACAACAATCAGAGCTCAGTCAGATACTCACAGCTGTTTCAGTCGCTATGTTTGTGTCTCATTCTTCATTTAAAAGTAATCAAAAGAGTCCAGATCTGAGTCCTGCGTCGGACGGATCAGATCAGAGCCGCTGGAATCTCTCTCTCTCTCTCTCTCTCTCTCTCTCTCTCTATGGACTCTACATTCTTTCATTCAGCTGAACCCGTTTCTGGTTGAACCAGTTTGTCTCCATGTTTGAGTCGGAGCTGCTGATTGGCTGATGTGTCTGGGTTGTTCCTTACCAGGTGTTTAGTGTGCTCCACACGTTTCTCAAGGGTTAATTAAAAGTTCAGGTTTAAAGTTACACACTACTATCATTTCCAACAGAAACTGGTTTATCATAACAACATGATGAATACCCTGGAAAACACCCCCACATCCCCCACACCCATCACCAACAGAAACCTGATCAGACGAGGACCAGAGGACAGTCAGAACTGGTCCTGGTCCAGTACCACAGTCAGACTGACAGCTCTGTCCTTTTTATCAGGATTAGAAACCAGGAACTGAGCATGAAGCTTTAGTAGAAAAAGTTTCTGTTTTCTGAATATATTTCTAAAGCCAAATAGAACTTGACAGGAAAATAACTTACAATAGATAAAAGCCTCTTTTACTTTATGTGGATTATAGATTAGCCTAAATATTAATTATTCATGCTCTCAGCCAGCACATGATTATGTTTATGTGCACTGACTGACCTTTACTCCAGACCAGAACTAAAAGACAAGAATAGAATACATTTTTTTCTTTTATTTAGAACAAAAAAACAAAAGAGTCCAGTATCAGGTGTGACAGAGTCCATAATCTCAGTCCTGTGTGGAGTAAAGTAAAGTGTATGCTGGACTAAACTCTGGATCCAGTCGGTCCCTGTTCAGTCTGAGCTCGACAAACCAGATTCAGTATTTTTGTGAAACTAAATATTCATGAGGCATTTCCCACCCACCCCCACCCCCCAGATAAAACTGCAATTTGTTCATCAGTCAGCTGATTAGTGTGGGTTGTGGGTTCATTAATAATCAGTCACTTTCAATAAATCATTGTTGACATCTGAGCTCATTAATTATTCACCAGGTTAAACTCAGTGTGACCTTTGACCTATAAAACCAAAATGAATCATGAAAATTTTCATCATAATTTCACTGATGAAAACATTGAATTTAACACGAACAAAATTCACAATATCACATTTTATTTATATAAAAGTATTAAAAACATGATTCAAAATAGTTTTATAACCATAAAGGTTAAACAATATAAAAAACACAAACATGAAAATAACGCAAAAAAATTTAAATTAAGATTAAATCAGATAAAATTTTTCAAACGAGACAGAATTTTACATTTCAATTCATTTTAATATTTTATTTTTAAATTATAGGATAGTAACATATTATAATAGTATACCATTACTATGTGTAACATTGAATTTCAGTGAAAATCATCAGTGGACGTATTAAATTGCCAGAATAATGATAAGTTACTGTATCGACTGCATGAACATGGTCTTTTATAATCATGAATTTATGTTTATTTGTTTCTGTCCCTGCTTCTCTTTTCACAACATTTACCTAAAAAATATGACATTTGTAAACTCCCAAGTGCATAATGTAAAAATAAATAAATAAATAATAATAATAATAATAATAATAATGATAATAATAATGATAATAATAATAATCCCAAAAGTCTCTTAAACTGTCATTTTAAAGAGATTTCATCTGTTTCATCAGATAACATCTGTGTTCTTTACATGAACGTTCTGCTCAACAAGAACCTGATGAACCTGAAACTCTCTCTCTCCTCTGTCTCTATCACTATCTCTATCTCTGTTTATGTCCCCGTCCCTGTCCCAGCCTCGGCTCGTTACTATGCAGAGAAACCAGGTCTTTTTAGCCGTCTCTATATTGTGCTCTGATTGGCTGTTGCCAGGCTGCAGGGCTGGCACGCAGATGAAGAGAGCGAGTGAGTTTGTCCTTTCTCTGCTCTGCTTCCCTCTGAGAATAACAAGCAGACAGCAGAGTCATGAAAACACTCAGGCAGAGAGAAACTACAAGAAGGACGCACGAGAAACCATTCAGTAAAGGGCCACTTCACCCAAATTAGAGAGAAACATATTCTCTCTCTCTGACATCAATGGCATCTTTCCCGTCACACAGTCTTGGTTTTATGTGTCCTGGTTTGGAGGTTACTGTGTGACAGCCAGGAAACACTGCACAGACAGAGGGAAGAATGGATTTGACTGAATATTAGCAGGAGACAGATGTCCTGCAGTCAGTTAGAGGCTGGTTTCTAAAACATGAAAAACTTCAATAAAGACAAGCTCAAGCTTCTAGAAAAAGGCCCCCCAGGGCCCCCCATGACCTGAACAGTGAGATCAGTGAGACTCTGGTATAGCAGTGTTATACAATTTGTCATATTACAAAATGCCTCATAAAATGGACCATATGTATACCAAAACTATTACACATGAATATATAGTATAGTAAGTCAAAATAATGTCACAGTATAATATGTCAAAAAGTCATAGTACAGTATGTGTTTGCTATAACCTTCTGTGTGAGCAGGTCAGACTAAAATATGTGAGACCCTGAACTGACCTACACAATGAGACAATTAAATCTAGGCTACAGATAAATCACAAATAACACACAATGATAGACGACACATACACACGTGATTTTTTTTGTTGTTAAAGGTGGAGGAGGGGAATCTCATGACGATCGGTGCAGTATGTGCAGTGTTTGTAGATGTGTGTGTGTGTGTGTGCAGTGTTTGTAGATGTGTGTGTGTGTGTGTGTGCAGTGTTTGTAGATGTGTGTGTGTGTGCAGTGTTTGTAGATGTGTGTGTGTGTGTGTGTGTGTGTGCGTGGAGCTAGTCGTCCTCTGCTGCTGCTGGTGGATGGTCTGTGACAGGGAGCAGCAGAGCTTTCATCGTGCGCTGTGTCTGCACTCGCTGTCGTCCATTTTGTGGTCATGTTGCAGCTGGTAATGTTTAATGGAGGAGGTTTGGATCAGAGCCACAGATTCAGTCTGTCCAACACACACAACACACAACACACACAAACAGAGAGAAAAGAGAAAATATTCAGGTTTCCTTTGTTAACAGGAGGGAAAAACACACACACACACACACACACACACACACACACACACACACACACACACACACACACACATATACACACACACACACACACGCTTGCTTCTTTGTCTGCAGCAGTCTTTGGCTCACACACACATACATCACACCCTGAGGCGTTTCCATGGTGACGGGATGGAGACGGGGCGATGAAAGCTTTGATACAACTCTCAGAGGATTTCAGTCTGTGAATCCAAATGAAGCTGTGTGTGTGTGTGTGTGTGTGTCTGTGAGGATTAACAAGCAGACTGAAATGAACATTCTACAGTCAGGATTTGTTTGAAAAAAAACTGTCAAATAATTATGAAACACATGAGTTTACAACATTCAGAAGAAAATAGAAAAGTAAACAATACATATACAACAATTAATAATAAAATAACAATAAAATAAATACATGACAGATATATATTCAGCATATGTCAAAAGAGCCTCAATATACAAAATTTAATTATAAAACACATTTGTCTGTTTTTCATATTTTTTAAGTTACTTAAAAAATCTTTTTTAACTCTTTTATTTCTTACATTTATTTTATATTTTCATGTTTTTTATTTTTATGTTTCCTAATAGAAATGTCTGATAAATAATGACTATCAGCTACAATTTCCAATTACAACAAAGATGTGAACAAGCTGACAGTCGATATCTTCACACTGACCCACTTCAACATCCAGTAAATAAAGACATCATCCTCATCCTCATGTCTTCCTCTCCGTCTTCTTCTTCTTCCTCCTCAGCTGTCTGGAGCTGAGAAGCCTCCTGCTGGAGAACCAGAGAACAACACGTCATCGTCGTCATCGGCTGCAGCAGCAGGAACAGAAGCTGCTGCAGATGGAGGCAGCAAGGTAACAACACATCACTGCTGAGTCTGTCGAGTGTGAGCACAGGTGACAAGGAGGAAGAGAAACCTGCCACTGTGCTGTCAGAGTGTTCATCATTATCATCACCAGCATCATCATCACAGAAAACATATAAACATCAGAAAGATTTAAAAGTCAAGGAGTGTGATATAAAACAGACAGTAGAACAAGAAAAGAGATCATGCTTGTCTAAATGTCATAGATAATAGATTTTAACATTTTACTAATGACTTAATCACTTCAAGGCCCCAGACTATATCTCCAAATGAATTGCCCCTTATCAACCTGTATGTAGTCTGAGGTCTTCAGACAGGAAGTTGTTGGTCGTTCCTATGTCAGGATGTAAGAAGGGAGATGGAGCTTTTGCTGTGAGGGAATCACAACTCCGGAAAAACCTGAACCCAGACTTGTCAGTGAAGTCGGTATTTTCTTTTAAATTCTTCACAAAGAAATTAAAATTGAAAAATAAATTGAAATTAAAATAGATTCTAAATTCCCAATATAAAAATCATATACAATTAATTTTCGGTTTAGCTCAAACTGAGTCAGTCTAATCCAACAGCAGAAACATGAACTTTTTACATATATAATAGTCTGCATGTATCTCTATATATCTCTGTATATTTGACATGAAACAATGTGCTGATGTGAGAGATTTTAATGTGCTGTTATGAAAACATGACTTCGTGATGTTTCAGATATTTGCAATTTGAATTATAACTATGAATCCCACTGGTACAAAAAAATGTATTAACAGCTTGAATTTTTAAATATTTGGAAATGAAATGATCTTATAAATAAGACATGCTGCAGTATTTAGGACAACATGTGAAAAATTTATTTAGAGGGGAAAAAAAGAATTCTGACTTTAAACTTAGCTCTAAAATTTTGGCCTTAATCCTCTTCTGTATAAATCAAAAGTGTGGTTTGCAAAAGTAAATACATGATATGCATAAGTCAACTTTTTATTTAATCTATTGGAGTTTTAAATACATGGTTGGGGTTAGGTGCAGGGAAATTATATATTTTGACATATTTTCCTGGCAGAAAAACATTTGCTTCAAGGTTTTTTTTTTTTTAAAGTAATAACATAAGCCCCTAATAAATAAAAAAGTTTGACAAAATCATCACAAATTTTATTTCATTTTATTTTATCAAAATAGAGTTTGTCTGGAAGAAAGAAATCAGTCTTTAACCTGAGGGATGTTAGATTTGTAGTTTAGGGGCTAAAACTATAAGACCACCTGAATGGTCCTTTAATGGCTATTTTTTCAATACTACTACTATGAAAACAATAATATCAATAAACCTTTAGCAATAAGTCAGTGCAGTAGAGAAGGAAGCAGACAGCTGACAGTGTTTCCCTCCTCAGGTGGAGATGGTGTTCTGGCTGCTCTCCATGCTCGCTAACAGAGATAAGGAGGAGATGTCCCGGACTCTGCTGGCCCTGTCCAGCTCTCAGGACAGCTGCATCGCTATGAGAAAGTCCGGCTGCGTCCCCCTGCTGGTCCAGATCCTGCATGAAGCTCCAGGTGGTGCGGGTGGTCCCGGAGAGACGGCGGCGAGTGGTGGGGGTGGTACGACGACCGGCTGCAGCCGAGAGGCCAAGTCCAGAGCCAGCGCAGCCCTCCACAACATCATCTACTCCCAGCAGGACGAGGGCCAGGCCCGGCGGGAGATGAGGGTCCTGCACATGCTGGAGCAGATCCGGACCTACTGCGACAGCGGCTGGGACTGGATCGAGAGCCACGCTGGGACCCCTTCACCCGGAGGAACCAAAACCACCGGTGAGTCCAGTTCCGTCAGAACACAGAGGAACAGAGCTGAAGGCCTTGAGGAAAATATTGTAACTGACATTAGAAGTTCTTTCTATGAGTTAAAACAACAGGTCAGTGTTTGAAGTTCACACAATGTTAAACATAATCAAATCTGCATCAACAGAATCAGAACAGCTGATTTACTCAGTTTTCTAAAACATTGACCAACTAAGCTCACAGTTATTAAGACACCAATGTACTTGACATTATTGTGTTTTATTTATATTGTTTTATCCCTAATTATTGTTTTTACATATTTTTATTGCCTCTTTTCACTCACTGTCAGATGGCTTTGCAGAATTTAGATGTTTTTTTTGTTTACACTGTTCTACACTTTTTTATTATTCTCAGGTACGTCAGACTTTTCTTTTATCTGGTTTGAATTTTTTCTTGCAAAGCACTTTGAAACTTTGTTAAAAGAAAAATGCTATATAAATAAAATTATTAGTTTTATTATTAATATTATTCACAAATATTCAAATATCACATATAATCAGTTCAGTGGCATTAGGCCTTTTTTATTGATTACAATGAGCTAATGGACACATGAATTTCCCCTGGGGGATAAATAAAGTATCTATCTATCTATCTATCTATCTATCTATTTGACACAGTGTTTCACAAACTAACTGACTGAATCTTAGTTAACTACAGCTGAGTTTATTTGCAGATGACAGTTGTCAAAAGTTGTCAACTTAAACTTTAAATTAGTAAGTTAAGTAATAAGTTAATAAGTTAAGTAGTAATAAGTAATAAACAAATGTCAGTTATAAATAAATCTGTGGATTTTGTGGTATCAAAAATGCAGTTTCTGTATAAACATTAGACTAGATTAACGGTCCTCCAACTTGATTTTTGTCAGTAATACAGCCTATAGAAGTTTATTCATTTCTAAACCCCTCCTTTGTTATTGATTTATTTCCTCTCTCTTTCTTTTCTAAATGCAAAAGCCGACCTCCAGGGGAGAAGAACCTTTTTATATGAAATTCTGGGTTGTATGAGGGGTTGCATGTTGTGCTCCTTTTAATATGGATATGTTCTGTAAAGTTGACATATACATGTTACACAGTTCAAATTGGAAATTTTGGTAATTCAGTGCTACAGTGACACACCCAGTGTATACTATATGAATATGCATTCTGTCCATTTGTTGGAAAAAAAGATCTTAAAATAAAAGAAGTTCCCTGAACTGAATAAAGATCCGTCTAAATAAGGAGGAACCGCAACCAGAAGTTTGTAAAAGTACAAAGTTAGAGAAGCAGAATTACACAGACAAAAATCCTCGCAGGCCTCATCAGGACACGTCCATATCTGACTCTGTCTCTTTGAGTATCTAAGTCTATTACTCCAGTGAAGAGCGCATGGAGTCCCCGTTGTTCTCTGACCTGGTGGATCATTTACATCAGTGATTTATTGTTGGTGAACTTCCACACTAACCTTACAGACTGTGGATGTGTGACAGCGGTTAAACATCACTCATATAAAACAAAGTCTCCTCTCTTCCCTGCAGACATCCCAGAACCTGTGGACCCTCAGATCTGTCAGGCCATGTGCGCCATCATGAAGCTCTCCTTTGAAGAGGAGTACAGACGTGCCATGAATGAATTAGGTTTGTGAAGCGCTGACTGACTTTTCTCCTCACATCAGTGAAACCTTCAGGCTGTGATGCTGAGTGTTTCCTATCATCCTGCAGGTGGTCTGCAGGTGGTGGCAGACCTCATCCACCTGGACCAGGACATGTACGGCATGCAGAACGATCCTATCAACATGGCGCTGCGGCGATACGCAGGGATGGCTCTGACTAACCTCACGTTTGGAGACGTTGTCAACAAGGTACAGACAGACCAGGAGCTCAGGTCTAGTCCAGTCCTGCAGGGACCAGGAAGCAGGACTGCAGAACTTGGTTGAATTCAAGTCACAAAAAAGAAAACAGTACAGAACCGGGTAGTTGGTTTGTAAAGCGTAGAGTATCAGGGCCACTGAGGAAACAAAAATCTGACATTTTTGAGAACAGAGTCGTAATTTTGAGAATAAAGTCATAATATTACAAGAATAAAGTGTTAATTCTAAGTTCCATGTTGTTTTAGAGGGAAATATCAGAAAGCTTTAAAATGAGGAACGTGGAGTATCCTGTGAAGTTCTACTTTAGCAGAGGTTTCAAAAATAAGGAGAACCTTCATCTTTTTGCTCATCAGCATCATCATCATCATCACTATCATCATCATCATCATCATCGTCAGGACATTGAAAAGATTGTGAAGAAACTGAGTCTATTCTATTGTTAGACAGAAAAACAGCAGCTGCAAGAAGCAGCTCAGGCGGCCACTGACTGTCCTTTCACCTGTTTGATTGGTTGATGTTATAGTCCTAAAAATTATGTTTTTTTTCTATTGATTTTTTACATTTTTAATTCTCGTAATATTACAACTTTATTCTAGAAATTTCAGATGAATTTTTTCGTCAATGTGGCCCTTACACCTGTAGTGTCGTAGATTTGAAAGCAAATAGCCAATTAATCTGTTACCTGGAAAATCCAGGTGATTTTTGTAGCTTAAGTTTATTTCATATCATCGCAAATTGAGCATATGAAAACAACTGTCACCACAGGTTCTTAAAGTTGTGATTGGCATTTTCTACTATTATCTGAATTTATGTTAAACAATACTACAAAGATAATCAGCACATTAATTGTTCATACTGTATTTATATATTACGAGCATCTACAATATCCAATAGGAAACATGTAAAAACCCAGCCTTACTATATACACCATACATAAATAATAACTACTTAAATGTATTTACATCCTGTACTAATACGAACCTTCTAAACCAGTGACCCTTGAACTTGAAGCAGTTGCTGCCCTAGATGCCTCTAAAGAACTAATCTTCCCTTCTCAGGTTATTTCAACTGAAACGTTTTTATCATTTTATTATTAGTTTTTGTTAAAAAAATAAACAGATTTGACAAAAGAAGGAAAAACACAATGTGTATGGCTGCAATATACTTGTTTTTCCTTGATTTATATTTTATTTATCATGTCCAAAAATAAAGATAGGATTTAAAGTTAGTCACACTGCTGCAGTTTGTTATCATTGGAGTAAATGTTAAACTGGACTTAGCCTTGGTCTTAGCATTAGCATGTTATTATTCATGCATCTTTTCTTAGATGAGCTAATATAGCTGTTAGCAGTACATGTACTGTATATGAACCATACAATAAAGTATTTTCCAGACAGTACAGATTTGCTTGTAATTTTGCAGATGTGCAGGTTATTATCTTGTATCAGACAACAGCTTTGATGAACACAAACCTGTGCACTGATTCACCAAACCAACACGATCCTCCCTCAGGCAACTCTCTGCTCCAAGAAGAGCTGCCTCCAGGCTCTGGTGGCCCAGCTGGCCTCAGACAGCGAGGAGCTCCACCAGGTGGTCTCCAGCATCCTGAGGAATCTGTCCTGGAGGGCCGACATCAGCAGCAAGAGAGTCCTCAGAGACATCGGCTGTGTGTCTGCGCTGATGACCTGTGCCCTGCAGGCCACAAAGGTAACTAAAACAAACCAACCCACACAGAGTGGATGTGACGAGAGGAGGAACAACTGGGTTTATTTAAGGAGACTGTGTGAAGATGTTCCTGTTGGATATAAAATACTATATGAAATACAATATTATTAGCTTTTTTACTGAGACTTGGATGTTCGGGTGACAAAATCCACCTCCCAGCACCTCTGAAGATCCGTGGTTGGACTGTTTTGTTCATACAGATCCAGAGCAGCTATTACTCCCCAGCTCACTGATTAACATGCTGCATCTCACTTGTTTATCCTGTGCACAAACGCAAATGACAGTCGTTGGTTTTAGGGCAACAGTTGGTGTAGTGATTTTGTGCAGATTTGTTTCAGTTGTCAGGTTTGGTACCATCGTATCTGTACAGAGACCAAAACCACAAACCACTCCATCTCCGCTTGTGCGCAAATTTAACAAAATACATATTATATTAATTTGTGAACTTTAGATGTGTTGTGTTTAGGCTAGCTGTTTCCACCTCTTCTAGTCTTTATGCTAAGCTAAGCTAACCAGATCCTGAATCCAGATCAACACACATACACTGAAATTCATCTGAACATCTGAAACTCAGACAGAAAGACATTTGAAAAATTTCCCAAAATGTAAAACAATCACATTAATCAACCTAAACAACAGAACAGTTAAAGTTGTGTCAGATTCACTTTGTGATAAAACCTGTGTTCTGCTGGTTCTGCAGGAGTCCACCTTGAAGAGTCTGCTGAGCGCTCTGTGGAACATGTCTGCTCACAGCATCGACAACAAGGTGGCGATCTGCTCGGTGGACGGCGCTCTGGGCTTCTTGGTGAGCACGCTGACATACCGATGTCAGACCAACTCACTCGCCATCATCGAGAGCGGAGGAGGGATCCTCCGAAACGTGTCGAGTCTGGTTGCCACGCGAGAAGACTACAGGTAGGTTTCTGAGAGAAGTGGAAACTGTAGTGAGATAATTTCAAATCTTCACTCAAGGTCCATTAACTAGACTTTTCTGGAGCTTTCAACCACATCTCACAGTCGAATTCCATCTATTGAGGATGACTCTGCTGCCCAATATGCAGCTCAATGTCTGAAAAAAGCCAGTAAGTGGACCTTGAGTTCATTGTTTTTGTCTCTAAACTAAACTGGAATAAATTTTAGTCAGACACAAGCTTTTCTTATGCAGAAAAATGAATAATCGCCTTGAAGTGAAAGTGATTTCCATTTTTAGAAATATTTACTTTTACATTTACATTTACATAAATTTGTTTTCCATATTTTTGTCTATTTATTGTTTATAATGTATTTCTGTTCATCATTACAACAATAAAAGCAGATACAATGTGATAACAGATGCTGAGACAACTTTAAAGTCTCTGCAAGTTAATTTTTAGAAGATACTGAAATTAATGGAAACTACTTGCAGTATACAAGGAAGGAAAAAGGGATGCGGGAAAAAATGACTGCATATTTTGAAAAATGATCAGCTGTAAACTCTGTGTGGTTTGACGTAAAATGGGCTAAACTAATAGTTTAACTAATAATAACTACACTAAGTAAAAATTTGCTTCAGACATATTTTTTAAATATCTGCTGCTTTCTTTATTCACAGGCAAATCCTCAGGGACCATAACTGCCTCCAGACTCTGCTGCAGCACCTGCGCTCCCACAGCCTGACCATAGTGAGCAACGCCTGCGGGACTCTCTGGAACCTTTCAGCCCGAAGTCCAAAAGACCAGGAGCTGCTATGGGACCTCGGAGCCGTTAGCATGCTGCGTAACCTTATCCATTCCAAGCACAAGATGATAGCCATGGGCAGCGCCGCAGCTTTAAGGAACCTCCTTACCAACCGACCCCTGAAGTATAAGGACGCTGCGGTCGTATCCCCAGGCTCCTGCATGCCCTCACTCTACATGAGGAAACAGAAGGCTCTGGAAGCAGAGCTGGATGCCAAACACTTAGCAGAGACCTTTGATACGCTTGAGAAACAGAGCCCCAAGCACCTAACCCTCAACAAGCCACTACGGCACATTGAGAGTCTGGCGAAGGATTACGCATCTGATTCTGGTTGTTTTGATGATGATGAGGCCCCCAATATCTCCAGTAGCCTGGACACTGGTAGCTTCTCTATGCTGTCCATGTTCCTAACCAACTCCAACTTCCTGCAAAACCAGCCACGTAAGAGGGACAGTGAACCCGAGAGAGACGTAGAACCACATCAGATGGTTGAGAAGAGACTTGCACCTCCTGACGACATGGTATCTGCCGCTGCAGAGAAGCTAGCAAAAAAGATCACCAACACGGTCGCCAAGATTGACAGGTTAGTGGAAGATATCACCATGCACACGTCCTCAGAGGACAGTTTGAGCCTCAGCTCTGAGGATCACCTGGCAGACTGGCCTTACGGACTAGATGAACTCAATGAAGCCCGGGCAAAGTCCTGCTCCCCCTGCCGTCTCTCTGATACAAGCAGCCTGGCCCACAGAGAACGCCTCAGTAGAGCCCACGCCCTCCTGCGCCTCAAAACTGCCCACACAAGTGTATCAACAGACAGCCTCAACAGTGGCAGCACCAGTGATGGCTACTGTGGCAGCAAAGATCAGATGCGACCTGTTCCAAGAGCCCTAATGATACAACAACAACGACCCAACCAGCTTGATCTCAAAGTGGCTCATCAAGACTACCTAGGACCTACTGTCCTGAATGACACTTTCCAGCAAGATATTCCAGAGAGGGATTCTGTGGACAACAAAGACGTGAAAGCTCTAGAGCTCGGCAACACAGATGCAGAAAAGAACCAGGATCAACCTGTACAAACACCTGTCAGTGCATCCACTAAAGTTTCCTCTGATGTCAGCATGACTTCAATTAAACTGTCTCCATCTTATCAACAGGTCCCGCTCATTCAAAGTGTGGCCAAATTTGGTGTAGCAAAAACAGCAATCAATGTCCAGGCTGCCCAAGCAATGAGAAGGCAAGCATGGGTACCTACTGTGATGACTGGAGGGAGCATTACAAAGTTTTCACCAATGACATCCACCAAAAGCCCAACCATCGGGACAATGGAGACGGTCCAGAAATACTCTGTGGAGAATACTCCAATCTGCTTCTCCCGCTGCAGTTCACTGTCTTCCCTCTCTTCTGGAGATGGAGCGTTAGATGGACAAAGTGAAAACGAGCTGGAGAGTGACTCATCACTAGAAATAATTGAAGTGGAGGATGGAGAAGTGGTGAAGAGAGCTGAAGAGGATGAAACCTTGGAGGATCTGAGCGACAGTCAGCTGCTGATGACCGACTCAAAAACCTTCCCAAGCAAAGAGACGGATCCCATTGAAATCCCCTGTCCTGCCAAAAGGGAAAAGGTGTTCCTTAGAGGAGCTTCACCAGCCATACTCGAAGACAGATCTCCATCCAGTTCATCTGAGAATTACATCCACGAGACACCCTTGGTAATGAGTCGCTGTAGCTCAGTCAGTTCCCTGGGCAGCTTTGAGTCTCCGTCTATTGCCAGTTCAATCCAAAGTGATCCATGCAGTGAGATGATTGATGGAACAATAAGCCCCAGTGATCTTCCCGACAGCCCAGGGCAAACCATGCCTCCAAGCCGAAGTAAAACTCCATGTTGCGTTGAGTCAAATGGACCAGAAACGCAGACCACAGGAATAGCAGGCCAGTGGGAAAGCAGCCTGCGAAAGTTCATGGAGATTGCGGACTCCAAGGAGAGGTTTAACCTTCCTCCTGATCTGGACACAATGATCTACTTCACTGTGGAAAAGCCCACTGAGAACTTCTCTTGTGCTTCGAGCTTAAGTGCTCTGCCTCTTCATGAACACTACATACAGAAAGACGTCGAGCTGAAATTGACCCCCCTGCTCCAGCAAAATGACAAAAATCTTCCTTTCCCTGATGAGGATGAGCAAGGACTTGACCATGGAGAAAGATACAGTGAAGGAAACTCAGACGATGACATAGAAATCTTAAAGGAATGCATCAACTCAGCAATGCCATCCAAGTTCAGAAAAGTAAGACCTTCCCTGATGACCACGATCCCTCCTCATATTCTCAATTCCCAGATCCGAAAACCAATACATCTTCCTGTGTACATGATGCTCCCGAATGGCAAAACCCAAATGTGTCCTGGGAGGAGAATTGTCATCCCTCAAAAGGACCTCAAATTTGATGATTCATCCTTCACTGATTCTGCAGAAGGTACACCTGTTAACTTCTCCAGCACAACATCACTAAGTGACGAAACACTTCAGTATCCAGTGAAAGAGAGAGGGGCTAAAGAATGCACAGCTAAAGGCATGAACAAACAGGAACTGCTTGATGATGAGGCGAAGAGGATTGAAGACTTGAGGATATTCTCACACTTCCACAAACCCAACAGGATGAACTACCCACCTGAGATACAAATGAACCGCATAACCAAACATGTCATTCCCACTCAGAGGGTGCTGATGCAGAGCAAAGAGGTAGCTGACAGAGTGGCAAGCCAAAGAAATCGTGATCAGTCTCCTAACCAACAAAGGAAGAGGCAAGGTCAAGGCTCCGTCAGGAAACTGGAATTGCCTGTCATAAAGCAAAACACAGAAGGTAACCTTAATGTGGGATCACAAAAAGGACACACAATCTTTCGACAAATGACGCGTTCGTCAGAGGACAGTAACAGTTTCTATGATGACGAAAATGAAAAAGATGAAGTAGTGAAGCGAACAAGTAGAAAACAGATGAGGGAAGCAAGTAGAAATACTCTCTCCCGGAGCATGACAAATATTGGCAGGATTGATAATTCCCAAGCAAAGCCCAGAGGGTTTCACAGGATTAAACAGAATCTGATTAAGGATGAATCTCTGGCATGTTACTCACTCAGCTCCTCTCTTAGTTCACTGAGTGATGCTGAGTTTGAGGATCATAAATCAAAAGCCCAGCAAATATGGTACAAAAACAGACACAACAAAACACTGAAAATGATGCAGCAAACAAAGCCGATGACAATTCACAGCCAATACGAAGAGCAAAGCTCACCAAGCTCTGTCAGCATGGATTCAGAGGATGACCTCCTTCAGAAATGTATAACATCTGCTATGCCCAAGCAGAGAAGGAAGCTTGCTGCCAGGAAGAAGAAAGCAGAAAATACTCAGAAACAAAAACAAAAGGCCTGTGATGATTGGAACATGGATGAGGAAATGGATAGTGATGATATGGCATGGGATAAAGATTCAGACCTAAATAGTGTTGAATGGAGAGCCATACAGGAGGGTGCCAATTGTGTTGTCACTGGGCTGCAGGCATCAAAGTCTCAAGAACCATCCTCTGAAGAGACTGAGTCCGTCCTGTCATTCATGTCAACGTCCAGCTTTACACCAAAAGAAAGGAAGTTTGCTAAAGACAAAAAGGCAAATAAACCTTTAGACTTTGCACAGCGCAAGCCAGTTCCAAACTTACCAGTGGTATTCAGAGGCAGGACAGTGATCTATACACCGAAAAAAGAGACAGCTCCATCGCAAAGGCCGCCTCCCAGAAAAGTACCAACCAAGACGGATGCTCCAAAGAACCCAAATCTTGCTCAGCACAGATCAAAGAGCCTTCACAGATTAGGCCACCCCCAAGACACAGAACTGTCTTTGCCAAAGAGGAGCTCTACTCCCCCTCCAAGGATACCAAAAAGTTCATCCTCTGGATCATCACAAAGCTCCACACCATCCAAACAGTCACAGAAGAAGATCACATCACCAAGTCAGACTAATAAATCCATCCAGAAAAAGAATCCCACACCAGCTGGTAGCCCACCAGCCACCAGTCCCCCTGAGAGAAAGGGACGCTCTCCTGTTGTGAATCAAAATGAAAAATCACCACCGCCTAAAACTCAGAAGTCACCTGTCCGAATCCCTTTTATGCAAAATTCAGGCAAGCAACCCAGGCCTCTGTCACCACTGGTAACTAACCACACAACCAGCAGACAAACCAATCAGGTCAATGGGAAAAGGATTCTACCAGCTAATCGATTTGACCTGGTCAGGATGACTTCTGTCCACTCAAGTGGTGGTGAGTCTGATCGCAATGGATTCTTGAGACAGCTTACTTTCATTAAGGAATCAAAGACTGTGCTGAGACGTGATGGATCTGCACGCAACATGCCTGGATCTCAGAATGGATCTCCCCGCAGAGCAGTTCCTGGAGCTTCAGCTGTCTTCCTTTGCTCATCACGCTGTCAGGAACTTAAGGCAGCTGTGCAAACCCCAAGAAGGGTGCAAGTAAAAGGTCCAGGACAGGGACAGCAAGTCCAGAGGTCAGATAGAGGCCTTCAGAAGCAGACTACAGCCCTCTCCAGAGCGACCTCCAGTGAAAGGGATCTATCTACAAGACGTCCAGCTAGGAGAACTAGCTCTGAAAGCCCCTGCAGGGTGGCTCAGAGAAACGGGGCTGGCAGAGTGTCTGGAGCCAGGCAGCAACAAGACAAAGATACCTTTAAACGTCATGCCTCATCTCCAAGCATAAACATACTAAGCCGAGTGACCAGCCGTTCTTCCCTCCGCTCTTCGTCATCTGATTCAAGTGGAAGAGCAAAGAGCGAGGATGACACAAAGAAGAAAGGGCAGAGATCTGCATCTCGGCTGAATGACAGAGTCACCTGGAGGAGGATCAGGGATGAAGATGTACCTCAGATCTTGAAAAGCACTCTGCCAGCCAATGCATTACCTCTGGTGCCTTCTCCTGATGAGGAAAAGCCAAAGCCACCAGCTCTTCCTGGAAAACTGCCAACCATTCTACTCGCATCTCGCAAGACAAGTGACGCAACAGTCCAGACAGAGGATTTTACAAACAATAAGACCAACTCCAGCACCTCTCCAACAGTCGAAACAGCTCCAGTGATCTCTGAGGAAGTGGCACGACTTGCCCTCTTCAGGAAGATCAGTGCCACCGCCGGGAGTAATCTCCAGGAAGGTGATTCAGATGGTTCCCTGAGGAGCCACAGCACCGTCTCCACAGGAACATCAGACAGCCACATGGGTGGAGCCGTCCATTTCCGCCAAGGATCCCCCAGCAGGGCCGTCCGAGTCACCCCATTCAACTACATCCCCAGCCCCATGGCCTGCTGCCTGCAAGACACACCGAACCAAGCAGCCACAATCAATGAGAAGTCAGGGGGGAAAAGTGAGTCATAGAACGTTTAGAGGATTACTGGATGACTCTACTGTGTTCCTGAATGAAACTCGGCTCTCAGGTGGAAAAGTGAGAAGTGTGCTGGTCCCTATACCTCGGGTATTGGCCCTTTACTTTCCCCATTCACTGCATTCAAGTTTTTTCTCTCTGAACAGTTGATCACAGCTTCCATCTACCATTCATACAGGGTTGGATGTATGCATTGAGACAGGTCTGACATGAACAGACCGATAACTTTTAGATGCACTTCAGAGAAAAATCTCACACGAAGAGGAAGTGCATCTTTTTGTACTTTTTTGTATTTGTAGAATAACCATTGCCTGGTAGAAATGTAGTGGAAACAAAGCAAAAGACAATGAACTTGATTTCAGCACATGAATCACCATCGGTCTCCAGGACAGAATCGATAAAAAGAACAATATTATGCAAACTTTTGAATGAAAACTCAGCTGGACTTTTACCTGGAAAAGGTACAAAACTGTGGTGGACTGTTGACAGACTTTCACAAAGGACATAAATATTCCAACATGTAAAGTATTTTTTACATACAGTACATCAATGCTTTGGGCCTTTGCCTCACCACTCAACTGAACATGATACACTGTTAGCCTTCCCTGTTACATACGGAGCCCAGCGAGGTTGGGGGTTCATTTTTTGATAAAACATTCCTTCAAATGAATTAGCATTATCACTTTTAGTTCATTTGTCCTCGTCTTCTCAGCACTTTCACTGTAGACCATCTAGATTTGAAACAGTTTCATTTTGACATTGGACTGAGGTACATGGATATAACTCTGGGTTTTAGACATTTAACATAATGTTGGGTTGTTGCTGAAACCCTTCGATGTATATTACAGGATAACATGATCAAATCTTTGATTATATGAATATTATCCAGAATAAAACTTAAACTACAAAAGTAGCTTCAAGGAGCTGGAGCTCTGTGAAGCTATAGATAAATGCACAAGAAGGAGGAATTGATTTTGTAATTAAAAAGGCAAGAATTATAACTTGAGAGAATTGGTTAAGTACAAACAATTACTCACAGATAGGAGTGGGCAATATGAAATTAAGTTCCATTACTTTTTTATTTAATTCTATGTGACTGTTGTTGTATAATTCTTCAAAAATCAATTGAGGATCTTTTACGAATGTTTGTTTTTGGCTGATTCATCAAATTAAACATCTAACAAGTGATGTTTCATTACACTAATTAGCCTAATACAAGCAGAAATGTTATTGGAATACATAGTAAATATAGTAGTATCACCAAAACCTACTTACAGGAATGTAATAAATATAGGTAGCACTCAAATTATGAATATGAGGGGATGATTTATCAAAAGTTTTCACTCTGTCACCTGCTGGACCCTGTTTCCACCACTGCTGCAGAAAATATGATAGCAAAGACACCATTTTCCAAACTATCCGCTGATTCTGGGTCACATCACACTCTCCTGTACTTTGTGTCTTAATCAGTATTGTAAATAACATGCAGATATACAAAATCTTCAAAGCTTCCTGGTGGGCAAAAGAATCTTGGTGTTGCTCCCTGACAGCATGCTAATATATTCATGGACTGTATACACACAACTGTTAACATTGTGGACACTGGATGACAATGAGAGCGTTCCTAGCCATCTGTATTATTGTGCCGCCGAGACCTATAATGCTATAAAGTGTCAGCATAGATGAACAAAGCGATGACATGCTGACATGTTAATTGAATGCAATGACATTATATTTGTGTTTGCTACTAGATTCAGGTACTGTTTGCTGTTTCCTGTCAGGAAATGAAAAGACTATCTGATTGGATGATTCATCAGGCAGGTATGTGTCCTTACAGAAGTTACCCTCTGGAAGTCTTTATAAACGTGTTAATATCTGCTTAACTGTGTTGCTGTAAAAGTAGTGATAGGTCGAGAAGAAGTCGAATATTAAGACAATGAATATTCTCTGTAGTTGTACCATCACTCCTCCATGTGTGCTTGAAGATCAAAGGCAGCAGAGAGATGGACAGAACTGACATGAATCTACACCGAGGGGCTGTTCATTTGAAAAACAAGGTTTTCTATTTACTACTACCACCCTATTGTATTTCCAAAGCATGTTTTGAGTATGAATAAAACCCAAGTAGCTTTTGAATGCAAACCTTTCATGTCCCACTTTAAGATATTAAAGTGATACTCTGACATTAATCCTTTGAGTATCAAGCACTCACCCATTATATATGAGCTCAAATAAGGAATCATTGTGGAAGTCTGAAATGATGGATTTTAAAGCCTGTGGTTGTTTATCATGCTTCACAAACCAATAAGAAATTCAAGTCTGAGAATGTGTAAAAAGATTTGTAGTTTCAGAAAAAAAAACTGTCTAAATGAATTTTATGCACAAAATGATATCAACAGTGAGGTAACACACATTTAACAACAAGAATTTTAGCCCTATTATTGCTGTAGATATAAACCAAAAAACATCAGCACTAATATAATTTCTGCAGATTTTTCTCATATTTTTTCAACCACAAAAAAACCCTGAAACCCAAAAACAAAACTTAGAATCAGAGTTGTCCACAGCATGAATAATGAGTTATTACAATCCACACAAAAAGATCAAAACATAACTCAGCTTCAATCTGTTCGTAGCTGAACTGGGGCTGCTCTGACCAGCTACCAGTTATTTAATCAATTAGTCAAGTGACAGACAATTAATCTGCAACTGTTTTTATTTTAAAATATTATTGTTTTAGTCATTCTTTTATGCAGGAAGGTGAAAATTTTGTTGTTTCTAACATCTCAAATGTGAGGACTTGATATAAAAACTGAGAATCTTTGAATAATCTTTGATTATGAGCTCTTAAAAACGAAGACATTTTAATATTCAAAATTTTCTGGCATTTTGTAGATGAAACGATTAATCAATAAAAAATAATCTGCAGATTAATCAATCAACATAATCAAGAATTGTCCCAAAGCTTGAGAAAAATAATTAAATATCAGATTTTAATTGTTGTCCTTATTGCCCTGTTTTAACTGCATTTTGTTTTACACATTCACAAACCTGAGTGTTTAACAGGTTTATAACAGGTGATAAGAAACCAGAGGCTGCAAAAGTTTTTCTGAACATCGTTTCACAAACTTCAAACCTTTTTGTGCTTTACTGAAGCCCATACCTGTAGTTTAAAGAGCAAATTTCTAAACTTTGTAATCAAGCATTTAATACTGGACAGTGGAGAATCACTAACAGCCCCTACATGGTTAAAGAAGCAATGACGCCTGTGTGAAGGAGATGAACGGGGAATTCAACACCATCAGAAGGTCCTGGGAGTTTGTCCACCATGGCTGCTGGTGGCCTTGTTTATACTGGGCTGGGGTCAGTTTCTGGACTAAACCAGGTCCAAACTGCTGCAGGTGGATTTTAACAATTTGACTTCACCTGCTCCAAGTCACAATCTAAATGTTTAATTATTATGGTTATTTAATTATGTGCGAACACACACACACACTGACACACACAGTTTAAATCAGTTATCAGGTCCCAGCCTTTCATGTGTGAACAAGGCCACAGAGGTGTTATGGTGTCATGTGAAATAGGCAAAGCAACAGAGAAATGTCATTTTAAGTGTTTTCATCCAATAAAAAGTGACGTGTTTCATTAAGCCGCTGTGTCGACCCCTTCATTCAGACAGGTATAAAGGTATAAAACTATAGTGATGTGACTGAAAACATCATCATGGTGATTTTTTTATTTTTTCTTATCCACTGACAGTGACTGTGAATGTAGAGATGTGTCCAGTCTTAAAACAGTGATTTTTAAAACATTTACCTATAGGGTCAATGCTAAGCTGTGATACAGCTGAGGCAACAATACATCCATGAAACCGTTTTATTTTTTATTTTTAGAAAGTTACTGTGTCACTGTGCAGTCAGTATGTAGCCTCTTTGGTACGGTGGCCCTGAGAGCTCAACGCACTGCAACTTAAAGTGATAGTTCAGGTTATTCGACGTACTAATCTATAGTCAGTGTATTACCTGCTGTAGATTCAGTTTACAGAAGCAGCAGGAGCTCAGTGATGTGCTGCTGTGGAAGGGGTCAGCAGAAAAATGTGTTTTAGCTTCCTTGAAAAATACCTAATATCAGTTTTAAGTGTCACTTTATTTTCAAACTTTTCATCACTTTTGTTTTCCCAAGTTGCACTGCTTTGAGCATTGGGACAAAACTGTGCCTCACGTCAAGTCTGAAGAAATTTCAACACCTGACAAGCTTTATACTGCATTCAGGTACTGAGTGATCAACCTTCACTTTACTAAATGACAAGAAAACAATTGTTGGAGCCAGTGTTGGAAAGTGGGTGCCACAGCGCAGGATTTATTTTATGTCAGCATTTGTTGTGACCTCAAGTCAAACGACCACTGGGCAGAAATTCAGCCCAAGGCCGATTAGCCCGAGGTGACAAACACTGACGTTTCTCTGATTTATTTCTTTTATATAACTCTGCACAGACTAACACAGTTTCTGCTGCTGTAAGAGATGAAGCAGGGAGGAGGTGTGTGAATGGCAACTAAAGAGAAGTGTTCCTTTCACTTTTGAAAAGAAACAAATGTAAATTGTCGAAGAATGAAGATTTGTTGCTGTAAAATATTTCTGAACAACATCATCACCCCCCCCAACATAAACATCAAAGTTTAGGCAGCACTTTGTGGTCAGAAATCTTTGCTTTACTTGGTACCTGTACATCTTCATAGCAACCTCACGCACGCATGCACGCACACACACACACACACACACACAGACAGACACACACACAGACAGACACACACACACACAGACAGACACACCAGTTCTGGGGTCAGATGACAGACAGCACTGGGTCTCCTGAAGGCCACTTCAGCTGGCTAGTCCTGATCCAGCTGATCCAGCCCTCACTGAGGCCATCAGTATAAAAGTCTCCTTGACAGCCAAGAAGAGTCAGTGACAGCAGGTAGAGTCAGAGTGGTTGACCTTTGACCTTTGCCACATCTCTGTCCAGCTGCTCCCCTGCTGCCCTCAGCTCCTCCCTCTGTCGCAGCAGCCGACTTCGAGACTCCTGCAGCCGCTCGTTCAGATCCAGGTACTGACGGCACTGCTGGAACTTCAAGTCCACATCAGAGTCCGAAGACCGGGATGAGTCTGAGCAGGGACAGGACAGACAGACAGTAAACCACTAGACAGACAGGAAGTAAACCACTAGACAGACAGGTGATAAACTACAGGACAGACAGGAAGTAAACCACTGGACTGACAAGCGGTAAACTATAGGACAGACAGGAAGTAAACCACTGGACTGACAAGCGGTAAACTATAGGACAGACAGGAAGTAAACCACTGGACTGACAAGCGGTAAACTATAGGACAGACAGGAAGTAAACCACTGGACTGACAAGCGGTAAACTATAGGACAGACAGGAAGTAAACCACTGGATAGACAGGCGGTAAACTACAGGACAGACAGGAAGTAAACCACTGCACAGACAGGCGGTAAACCACAGTAGGGGCAGGCGGTAAACTACGAGATAGACAGCAGTAAACCACAGGGAAGACGGGCAGTAAACTACAGGACAGACAGGCGGTATACCACAGAGCAGACAGGCAGTAAACCACAGGGCAGACAGGCAGTAAACCACAGGGCAGACAGGCGGTAAAACAGCTCTGGGCCCCCTCTCTCTCCTCTGACTCTGCAGATCTGTGTGGACTCACCTTGTCCAGTCTGCTCCAGGATGCTGAAGACCGGGTCATTGGGAGCGGCTCTGTTGATGTCCTCCAGGATCTGGTCCACAGTGGGGGGGTCTGGACGGCTGGGCAGCACCACCCGCTTCTTATTCTTAGAACCGATATTCATTCTCCCGCATCTGAAGATTAAGATTTTTAAATGTGTGGGAAACAACTAATGAACAAATTAACTGTAAAATAAACAAAAGAAAAGAGAGCGATTGTAAATAAACTGAACAAACTGCTCCTCCAGGTTTTCCACTCATTCATTAAGTGACTATGAATGTCTGACTCTTACGTTAAACAGTGATATTAACTATTATCAATATAATACGCTTATTCATTATCTTTATTTGGGGTATTCACTCAGCCTACAGCCGTACACGAGAAGGCTCCTGACCTCTGTTAATTTACCTGTTAAATTAGATTAAATTATGTGTCTGAACGTATACAGCGATCTGAATATAGACTACAATACATTTTCGAATTGCAAGGAGTTACTCTTCAATTCGGCATAGAAAAAAAATCAACTATGGAGTTTGTATTTGAATAAAGACTAAACTTAAGCATCTTTAACTTAGTGGTTTGCCTGTTTCTCTCTGTCGTCGTCCAGCACAACGCGCTGGGGGCGAAAGTGCTAACTAGCTAAAAACATCAGTCTAGACGTGGGTATTTGTTGCAGCACAGTGGAAGATTTCACGGCCGAATTTAACAAAAAGTCATTAGTATTCATAAGAGTTCGTTGGTAAAGATAAAATATAGTTATATTAGCTGATAAGCAGTTTGATTTTGATTTTCCAAACTGTGAAACGGAGTTCGGCACCATGTTTCAACACGCCAGCAGGATTAGCCACAGTAGCTTGTCGCTGCTTACCGGGGTTTAATCGTCTTTCTGAAAACCTTCTGCCGGATCTGAGCTATTGTTCGACCGGTCTGCTGCAACTGAACCCGGACTAACGGACAGAAAAGCAGCAAATTCAGCTGAAAACACTCGAAAAGATTCGTCAGCAGATGCAACACACAATTGCTGGATCCGTGACGTTCTGCACGGCGCGTCAACGTGTCCTGCCACGTCAGTACGTCCAAGCACAGAAGTCACGCCCTCATAAAACGTAAACGCTTGACTTTTTTTATTAATGTAAATTTATTCTGGTCTACAGTAAATAACACAGGAACAATAAGGTAATAAACTATAAAATAAAAAATAAAAAACAGTCAATTACTCTAATAAAACTGTTGAAAAAAATTCAACACCATATGACAAAAAACGATCCCTATAAAAGCCAATGTGACCCCAATGTACAGTTCCGAAATTGAAATACAGTGTTTTTTCTTGTTTCATATGGTCTCATATCAAAATGAAAGTGAAGTGAGAGTTGTCGACTTTATACACAGCTAGTTTTTGGTTCATGGTGTAATTTAGTTTACTCTTATGGCCCCTTTGAAGTATGAGTATTGGGTTTGTATTTATTTCATATACATTTGCCAAAACTTCAACACACTAAGTTAAAGGTAGGACTATAATGGAACCGTATAGCTAATGATTGATTTAGAAGGTCATTCAGTGTTGCAACTGACATTTTTGCTTTGATGTATACTGATTATTTTAAATTTAAACTATTTATTCTTTCAAAGTCTAAATCTTTACAAATGTCTTGATAAACCATGAACAATAAGAAAACTAACAGTTCTATTTTTTCTTACAGTTTTCTAAGAGTTACTTTGTGATGCACAGATACTTGAGGTTCAGTCACCCTGAGCTCTTTCAGTTCAGTTCCTTCACTCACACTCCTGCAGACAGAGGGTGACAACTCCCAGACTTAAATTTGGTTCATGCTCTTCTATTTAAACTATACATATAGCTACTATTATGTGCCTCATACATATTGTACATATATGTTAGTAGATGTCTTTCTTTATTATCGAAAACATTTAAGTCACATATATGTCCATATTTATAGCAAAGAAAATATCTGTATAATATATTTATGTATTCTTTCTCATATACACATATATACACATATACTGTATAATACTGATATATAAATGTGTGTGTTTGTTAGACAGAGCAGTCAAACATTATTCTGATTAGTGCTTTTTATTTCTGATCATAATGTAATTTTCATGTCAAGGTCATAATCTCATTTATGTGTATAAACAAAACAAAAAAATGAATAATATAAATAAATCAAATAACAGCAACATATGATGAAAAACAATGCAAAGCACCCAGAACCAGGACCACACACACACACACATACACACACACACACACACACACAAATGCAGTAATAAGGGGAAACACCGCCCCTTGGTGGAGAACAGGGAGTTTGTCTGTTAGTTTACAGGCTGGTTCCAGGTGCTTCTCATCAAAAAAAAAAACATCAATAAATACAAATAAATAAATAAACTGAAAACAACCATAAGAAACAGTGCGTGCATCTGACATTGAATCCTGTTATAGACTGGTATAGAAATATAACATATCTGATATAAAAAGGAAATCAGTCTCTTTGACAGGAGGTATGTTTCTTGATGGGTGATGATTCCTCACTGAGTCTCCTCTTCTTCCTCTGCTGCTACCTGAAGGACTGGAGTCAGAAACAAGGGCTGATGCATTATCTTATGGGTTTGACATTTCCAAATAATTTCCTTAAACTTTGCTCTCATGGAAAGAACAGTATTTATGGGTAAAACAGAGACAGTTTGTATGCAATATACCTCCAAATAATTAATTCCATTTAATTATCAGACTGTTTTAGTCAGTGCACAGCAGGTCATATGTGAAATGTATCTGCAGGCAAACACACTATTCAACATTACAATAAAGCAAAAGAAGACCTCATGTGTATTTACTTGGTTAACCTGGATAATCATGGAGATTTTACCTATAATAAGAGCCAAATTATACAGTTATTTCCAGAAACCTCTCAAAGAAATTATCAACAAATAAAGCCTCAACAAACATACACATTATTTATGATTTTCAGTTTTGGTGGTGGGCGTGGCAACAGTCTGGTTTATATTTCAATCCCAGATAAGGACTTTAAATTCCAGATTTTAAGGTAATTCAGAATAATTCTGCAGCAGAAGATTTCTGACTTCAGTCTCATAACATTAATATAATCCTGTGACCTGTATCAGCTCCTGTATTGATCTGATCAATACCCTGAATTGGTTGGTTATAAGAAACACTGAGCCTGAAAGGATCATCTGTGACTTACCGTCAGTCTACACTGACTTCATCCTGACGCGCAGACATACAACACACACACGAGCAAAAATTAAAACAAGACCAGCGTCACGTTAAGACATATATCTACACTACACGGAGTTTCTACTTCTACACAGTTTAGACGTTAAACATCAGAAAACTTGTCAGTGTTGGAGCCTGAAATTCTTCTTCTTCAGTTGTTCTTTGTTATGTTTTAAAAACCAACAAGCAGAGCAGTCAGGGAGTGCTGATGCTATTAAGAGCAGCAGGTAAGGATAGGAGGGGGTGTTAGGTCTGCTCAGGTCTGTTCAGATCTGATCAGGTCTTCACAGATGATGGAGGGTCCTGCCAGCTCCATCTGCTGCTGCTGCCAAATCTGCAGCCCACCACCACCAAAGAAGAAAGCTGCTTTACCTTTAAACCATTACAGGGCTGATGTTGAACAAGGGTCACTGAGGTTCATGCTAATTCTCCTCACAACACATTTACTATGACATATATCATTAACACCAAATCAGCTGACTTACCACACTGGTTAACCCAGGAAAGGCTGGAACAGGTAACAGGACATCTGGGTTAGCACAAGTATCCCTCACCTCTGTTCTCAATGTACAATTTATATCATACTATATTATATCATATTATATTATATTTTGACCCATCAGGACATGAACAGGAATCTAGATTTAACTGTGAGGCTGAAGAGTTTGTTTCAGGTACAATATGTGTAACTGTCTACGAGACAGGTTTCACTCTGATGTGTATTTTATGTTTCATATGGTTTCAAGCTGAATTCCAGTTCATACAGTCGTTAATCATGATTATAAATGCAATAAATAAGATGTTAAAAAAGGGTAACATTGATAAAAGGTTTGTCTAAAATACACCAGTGTTTGGCTGGAAAATTCGAGGCCCTTCATGTAAGGCTAGAGTTCAGCTAGAGGTATGACCGTGGCATTGTGGATCAGAATCACCATGGATACAGAGGAAAGATATACGGCTCCAAAATGATGTTATTCTGCACAGGGTCATTGTGTTTGAATTATAATTGTGTATAATGTTGTTAATGTGCCTTAATATGGACAGTGTGATATGTTTCTCATATTCTTATCTGATTGGATTTTTGTTGTGCTAACGTGTTTGGGCCTGATTATTGATGGACACTGGCTCACACTTAAGAGACTGTAAAACGACAGAGAGACGTGTGTTCTGAACTTTTATGTTTTTATTTCCTTGTAGTTTTCACAGTGTCTTCTCATGTTATCGTCTAACTAGAGAGGGAGAGAAAAATAGAGAGATTCCCCCCCTGGTCAACGCCTCCGGACCTCCCCTCTGTGTTCCCCATCTTCAGCTGGTCCCTCCCCTTTTGCATCACTGGTCCCAGCCATCAATCAAAAGTCTGCCCGGTCCTGTCCTCAAATCTGATCAGTCCGCTTCTGTGCCTCTCTGTTGCAACATGGACTTGCGTGATGGTTAGCTCGACAGTTAACTTCAGTCTTTCTGGTGTGTAAATTGATGTTAACTCGTTTGAGGCATTAGTTCAGTGATGTCGGGATCTGGGCACTAGGTTTAGGTTCTTTTGTTTGTTATTTTCATACTTATCTTATTTGGGCACCACACCTACAGATAGCCTAATTCAACAGTCTTGTTTAACACTAGGTCTTATGGGTGGCTGCTAGAGTGTGTTCTGTTTTTGGCAGGTCAGGTCAGGCAGGTAGGTCTTTCTTTCCTTTGTTTTGGGCTTTAGTAATTCAGCGGGGATGGGTTGGGCTAGGAAGCATGGTTTTGTTTTGTTTGTTTCATGATTTGGAGCCACCCGCAGCCTTTTCCCTTTGTTCTTCGCCTCATTTGATTCATTTTCTGTTGATTATTTAGCATTCCAGCTTTAAGTAATTCAGTGAAAGAACTCCTCCATTATTTATAGATATTTTGTGTTTATAACCCGTGTTGTGGTTGTAAAACCAGCATTAAATAATCCACAACAAAACCAGTTCAAAGGAATCAAGGTAATTGGTGGATTCACTGGCAGAGGTGAAACTGCAGGAATAAGCTCCAGTTTCAATGTCAGACAGCTCACTAGTCGGATTTCCATTGTGATGTTGCACAAAAAGGAAGTGATTGTTTTAATTTTTAGAAAAGTCGACAAAAGACAGCAGTGAATATTCTGTGTTTCCATTGAGTGATGTAATGTGAATAAAGATGGGTTTTCTCCTCTCATGATATCATTCCAATTAAACATGGTGACAGATGTCCAGCATCTGCCTCTCGGTTAGAACTGGGGCTAAATCCAAAAACACCAAACCACATCCACAAACTGGATCTTAGAACAGACCTTAACTCTCTGGAAGGTGCTAAATGTCTATGGGTCTCTCTCAGAGCACAGTCAGCAGGTTCAGGGTCAGGGCTTTACTAACCTAGCTTAGCATAAAGACTAGAAGCAGGGGTAAACTGTTACACCTAGCAACACCTGTAATGACAGATGAACATGATGATGATGTTTCATCTGTAGTCAAACAGAAACGAGGAGGATACGTACCAGCCGTTCTTCACTCGGTTGTGATGGAGATATTTTAGCTGCTGATGTTTCTGTCGATGAACTCGGTAAACTTTTAGGTTCGGACTGAGCGACCGACGGCATCGGAGTCACCAGAGATTTATTCTTCACCAGAGTAGACAGGACTGAGGAGAGAAGGAATATTTAATCTAATGTTTAACACAGCGTTATATTGGTGTGTCCCTACACTTCACCAGTGTGTGTACCTTCTCTGGTGAGGTTTTCGGCGGCGCTCATTGCCTTCCCGCTGAGGTCGTTCACCATGTTGTCCACCGTGGCCTCGTGGCGCAGGAAGACGGGCCGAACCACTTTGTTGTAGATGATCTGGGAGCCGTTCCACGACATCGGGGCCATGCACCACAACAGGAAGAGACACTGGAACCACAGAGGGCAGACAGACGAGGATTACTGGACTTAGTGGGTCACTACTAATGACACTGAGAACTTAAACCCACTGAGAGCCTGTTGTCCTTAGACATTTAGACAGGGGGGAAGAAGCATTTGATCAAGAATCTGTCCCTGTTCACTGGTTCTGTGATGTGTCTCCTCACCTTAAAAGCGTAGTAAAATGGAAACCAGTAGAGGAAAATGTCGGAGAAGAACTCGCCCAAGCTGAAGACGCCATACACCACCCAGTACGTCAGCCATTTTGTGTCGTCTTCTTTGCTCGCACTTTCGATGGCTTTGATTCTGCAGAAACACGTGGAAACAACCAGAGACACTGTTTACACCCAGTATTACCCTGTGACCTGCATCTGCACACATCACCTGGATAATGACATGAATGAGACTCTGCAGATAGACTGAAGTATTTCAGACCGTCAGTAATGATAATAATCACTCCTGCTCCTTATCATGTACCTGTCATGAAGTTGAAGCAAATTACAGTTTTCTGAATCATCAAGGTTTTGGATGAGAAATAATAATTCTTACACCAGGTAGATTTTACTGCAGGGACACTGGACGCCTGATAAAACCCCACCTACCTGGTGCATCACTGTCACTATCAGCAGATCACCATCAAAATAAGAAACACTCACGAATAATAAGCTGGATAGACGAAGCCAATCAGGTTGCAGAGGAGGGAGGCACCATATCCGTACACCAGGTAGAGTCCGGTCACTGAGACGGCACCTGGATGAGACGGAGGACACACAGAAGACAAACTGTCAGTCTACACTGATGCAGAGACGTTTAATAGATGGATGGATGATTACTTTATTAATTCCAGATGGCAAATTTAAATATCACAGCAGCTGAGTTAAAAACAATGAAATACATCCATCCATCCATCCATTTCCTACCACTTATCCTCTAGTAGGGTCGCGGGGGGGCTGGAGCCTATCCCAGCATCCTTTCGGGCGAGAGGCGGGGTACACCCTGGACAGGTCGCCAGTCCATCGCAGGGCACACAGAGACAAACAACCATTCACTCTCACATTCATACCTATGGTCAATTTGGAGTAACCAATCAGCCTAGTCCCCATTTGCATGTCTTTGGACTGTGGGAGGAAGCCGGAGTACCCGGAGAGAACCCACACAAGCACGGGGAGAACATGCAAACTCCCAATGAAATACAATAAAACACAAATAATAGACAAAATATACACGCGATCCAAGTATAAAATAAAAATGTTCATGTGGACCAAAGTGCAGGTGTGAGAGTACAGGAGGTTTTGGATGAGTCACAGAGATGCATTATAAAGTCTGGTTGCTGTAAGCAGGAATGATTTTCTATGGCGTTCCCTAGTCTGTTGCTGAATGTACGCTAAGGTTCGACCATAGTTTTATGGAGGGGATGGGTGACATTGTTCACGATTTTCAGCAGTTTTGCCTGATTTCTGTCCTCAGCCACCTCCTCCAGTATAAACAGCTTCCATCCAACAACAGACTCGGCCTTCCTGATGAGTTTCTTCTGTGTGTTGGCATCCTTTACTAACACATAACACACTGAGTAGAGCTGTCGTCCTCTGGCAGACATGCACACAGACAAACAGGAAGTTGTGTAAAAAGTGTCCTACCTCTGATCAGCTTATGTTGCTGTTCACTCATGGAGCCTCTGCTCTGCTGTCGCTCTCTGAGGATAATCTGCTTTAACTTCACTGCACAGACTGGGGGACACTGTGCACCAGGCACTACACTGACATCATGTCCTGCCTCAGCGTGTGTGTGTGCGTGTGTGTGTGTGTGTGTGTGTGTGTGTGTGTGTGTGTGTGTGTGTGTGTGTGTGTGTGTGTGTGTGTGTCGGCGCGTGTTACTGATCCACTGTATGAGCATCAGCGGGGTATGAATAGACTGCTGTTCACTGCTCAGTAAAAGTCCTTGGCTGAATACTGTGACTCTACATTAGGGCAGAGAGGTTTATCATCTTATTTATCTTATAGTCAAGGTTTGATCCAGAGCTCAACATCGCCATGAAAAGGCCCGTCACCTGCACCCAGGTGTCCTCATACAGCGAAGGACAGGATCAATGCTTTTAGCAGGCTTCTTATTTTTAGGTCAAATCAGCTATAATCAATGAACGTTAGTTTTGTTCTGGTTTGTGAAACCCCTACTGTCATCTGGTAAAGAGTCTGTACGCTCGGCCATGGACATTTTCAATGTGTAAGCTGTAGAAACTGAGCAGAAACTCCAGAAATACACAAGGTGAAACAGAGTGAATACAAAATTCAGTGTAATACAACAGTCCTGCAGTGATTCCTCCTTCATGAGGGTTGTAATGTTCAGTTTTTATTGAGAGTGTGTTAAAGAGGAGTTGATTCAACTGTGTGATTATTATGGACTACATAGTTTCTACTGCTGTTGAACTGCACTCCATTATACAGAGAGGTGTTTTTGTTATTTAGCCTACTTTCATTAATGGTTTGGACAAAATAATAGAAAACACCTAGTGTTACATAATACAGTGTTCCGTCCCATAGACAGGTTCAGAGCTGCGCCTGTTTTTGCAAAGTGCATTAAACCTGAATGAATGTAAAAAGGCATTTAAGCGAATGAAGGTAAAGAAAAAAAAAAACTGAGCATTTAAAAAAATGAAGAGGTACGAAAAGCTGGCAACAGGAAAGGTCTGCCAATCAACAGTCAGTGTTGTGTGATTAGTTTTGACATATGCTCATCACCAAGCTAATCAAATAGCTGATTGGATATTTCTGTGTAACGTCAACTCGCGATGGTAGATCATCGATATGGAGCCTCAACAAATGATAAATGAAGTATAAACTTACATAAACGACGACGATAACAGAGAGAGAGATAAACTGTATTAAAAGGACCCAAGTTGTCAAGCAATTCTGTTTTGCATTCTATGGCACTAGTTAGCATCCCTCCTGTTTCCTATGGGCTACACTTCACCAGCTCACCTGGAACACCTACAGTGTCGGACACCTTTGTAATAATGTAATTAATAATAATAATGATGTAATGATGTAATAATGTAATAATGTTCCCATCAAATTGCGGTTCTGTTTCCTCATTCTTTACAATGTGTCCTGTTTGTTTACAGGGCCTTAAATAAAAAGCGATGCGTGTACAAACAAAGTGTCCGACACTGTAGGTGTTCCAGGTGAGCTGGTGAAGTGTAGCCATAGGAAACAGGAGGGATGCTAACTAGTGCCATAGATGCAAAACAGATTGCTTGACAACTTGGTCCTTTTAATACAGTTTATCTCTCTCTCTGTTATCGTCGTCGTTTATGTAAGTTTATACTTCATTTATCATTTGTTGAGGCTCCATATCGAGATGACTACCATCACAAGTCCCAAATTGCCCATCTATGGGCATATTGTTTTCAGGTTGTTCGTTCGTCGTATTCATACCGTCTCATTTTCATGACATCATTTCAGAAAAACCTTAACAGAAGAACTTCTTTCCAAATTTGGCATAAATATTCACTTGGACTGCAGAGAGGGATGAATGCTAGATTGTTGTGTGCGGCAGCTATAGGTCCAATGGTTAAAGTCTAAGTGGAATGGCGCGTGTGCAATATTTGGGCCAACAAACGTTTTCCTTGACTAAGGATAGAACTGAATAGATAGGACATTGCAAACTTCACACAAGAAATTCTTGCAAACATTTTCACACAAATGGTTAACTATTTTTATATGAGTTCTAGGATACGACAGGGATGGTATTTAAACTAGATAGGCCCGGAACGCCAAAACAACGCATAGGTCCGCTAAATGTTACTACGCTGTTTCTATGAGAAACTAGGAGCTAAAACAGGCTAAAAAGCTCTGTACAGCTGTGCTGAGATGGAGATAGTCATCTATCTTGATGCAGTCATGTGATACTATTGTTGCTATAAATATTTGATTAGAGCAATTTTAAGCACTTGAACTCTGACCCCAGAGACATTTATCAGTTCCATGTTTCCAACAGCTCACAGCAGTATCTGTCGGGTAGCTGCCATTTGGGCTTGATATTCACAGGAGGATATTAACTGGAATCCTCTTCACATGCACCAGGTAAAGTCGTACACTATGGTAAGACGCGCCGCGTGCGGGGACTGATGGCGCTCTACTAAGTATCAAAACAGGAACTAAACAAACAGATAGAGCCATCGCGGGAGAGAGTTAGGTCTCTCATGAGCGGTGAACATGAGGTGGACCGATCAAAGGTCCAAAACGCTCGACCGATACCCCGCTGGCGATGATCTTCTTCTTTAATCCCTGTTTTCTGCCTCCAGCTTCCCAGAAAATCTGTCACATCCGGGTGCGTGGTATAGCTGCCACACCATTAAAGGTGGAAGGGATGCAACTAGATCATCCGCTGATGTCGCTGTCTTCCTCCGTCGGTTCTCGTACCGGTAGGCGGATTCTCCAATCTAGAGTGCCCCCCCGGCGAATGCTTTCGCTCGCTGCCTCTCTTCCTCTCCGGACCGGCCGGGAAAGGCTCCAACTGAAAAAGTCCTAAGAACTGGTCAAGCCTCCCTCTTGTCCGCGTCCTGCGTCGCACGCTCCTTTTCCTCCTGCTCCTTTCTTCAGGAGATCTTCTCTCGCTCTCGCTTCTGGATGGAGGAAGGGAAGCACCGGTTCTCTCAGTAGGCGCCGTCGCACCCATGGTCTCGGCTTCAAGTCGACTGCCTAGCGCGCTCCAGTCCACATCTACACATGTCCTCAGGCGGGGAGTGCCAGAGGCGAGACAGCGGACCGGATCATTTTCAGAAACTGAACAAAAGTGAGCTTGAGTGTGTGCCCTGTAAATTCCTCTTGAGCAGAGGATATGTGCATCATTGCGTTGCGTCTTTTTTCTTTCCAAGAGCTCGCTTATCGCGTATGCGACCAGAGGAGGTCTGATCATAGTTACTCTATGTGGTTCAACCTATGTTATATGGCCCACTCAATCAGCCACAGAGGTGCTACTTTTAATCCTTCTCTCACCTACGACGTTCTCAATCCTCGTTCCGTCCGATCTTTTTTTTCTTTATTGTCACGTTACAGCACTCACCAAGAAATATTTCAAGTCTATCAGATTTTTTCTTCACTTTTCGCGACAACGTTTGCTAGATATTTGAAACCAAAGTCAACCATACAAGTTACATTCCCGGGTAAACACCTCGAGTAGACAGGAGCAACGGGTAAAACAATTCAGCTCGCACTTTCCCGAACAGATGAAGACCTTGGCCACGGGGGAATCGGTTCCAGAATTCACACCAATTTTTGAATTCAACAATAGGAAGTTGACAACGGTGTGATAAGTAAACGCACTGTAATGAAGGGCAGAAGGAAAGCAACACATGGCAAACTAGACAATGGAAAAAGAATGAGGGAAGGAGATATAAGAAGGTCCGGCCAATGGGGATTAACTGGACACTCTCCTCTACTCCTCAAGATACAAGGGGATATAAAGAGAGCCTCCGATTTCGCCTGTTATAACCTGGTACGCTCATTGTGAGTATTGCTTTCATGTCACTTCCAGTGGGTCATACTCGGCCGTAAGGCCGACAGTGACACATTCCACCAGTGAACAAATACCCTCTTTAAACAAGATGATCATGTCTTGCATGGCAACGAAGCTATGTGTTTGGCCTAGACGCAGGGCCTTTCCTTTTCAACATGCTTTGTTCTTGTCCGATTGTCTTCTGGCATCTCAGATTACGATGGCGTATCAACATGGGTGTGTAAGCCTTTTAATAC